ACGCTAAGATCATAACGGTAGCTCTGGCAAAGACTACCAGATCTTCGTCCATGGCTGTGGGCCAGCCTACTCAAGATCTTCAAGCTGAGCCACACGGCCAGCCCAAGGACCATGGCCAGGCCATAGGCCATGGCGTGGATCCCGGTTACCAACCCATGGACCAGTCACCAAGCCAGCTTACTGGCCAGCCACCACAAGACCAGAGAAAAATACCGTATTGGAGCCACACGGTGTCCAGGGACAGTCCGTCCACGGCAACCAGCCATACCAGCCAGATGCCAGAGTCATGGTTACCGGAGGGTGACGAGCCCCAGGGGGCAGAAGGGGCATATATAAATTGGTTCATTGCCGGAATCAGACACTCCATACCGCCTCTACAACCATCCTATGAAGGAACTGCGCCGGAAACACCCATGACTATTAGGAACAGTCAAGTTGGACTAATCTACAGCCTCCTAAATGGCTTGATCATCAGGATGCAGGAAGATTTACTATCATCCCAAGTCTGACTTCCTCACAGTTACTGAGACTACAGCGACAACAGCTCCTATCCCAGATTAGGGCAAGGGCCGTATCTAGCCAGACCAAGAAGATTGTGACGCCGCAACCAGTATCAGCGACCACAACTTTCAACGGGAAACTCAGAAATGTGATAGATGGAATGAAACAAGATACAGCCGAGCATTTCCAGACTTCAACCATAGACCTTGCGGTGAGGACTCATGAGTCATCACATTCTCACAAGCGACCCTTGGACCATAAGTCATCTGCGCCCAAACGGCCTCCTAAGAAGAAGTTTGTCCACTCCAGGAAGGATTCGTTCCAACCGAGGCGGAGGTACGACAAGCCACAATCTTTGCAGGACTCTTTTCGCCAGCCAGAATACAAGAAACGGGGATATAATCGCCTTGGAAAATCAAGCTGCAGAGGGGAAAGTCAATTCAGACTTCCTTACATTATAGACCCTTTCGACCTGGTTATGTCTATGGATTGCGATTTACGCCTACTGTTTTTCAACATAACGCTGACTCCGGGCCCAGTGGGAGGGCGCCTTCTGTCATGCGATGAAAATTGGAAGCAGGTTACGCCCGACCACTGGATTCTAGACGTCGTGGCAATATCCGAGCCTGAACATACACGCTGTTGGTTGAAGATTTCACCTGACCGGTGCCAAGTTAGCAGCTGCAGAATTGGCTGTCAGGAAGCTACTAAAGAAGCGAGCCATTCACAACAACACCAAAGGTTTTTACTCCCTAGTCTTTTTAGTCCCGAAGAAGAACACAGCCGAGATGAGGATGATTATGGATCTAAAGACCCTCAACAAGAGATATCTGGTGCCACCTCCAAAATTCCAGATGGAGTCCATACTGAAGTTGCAGTCAACGTTGAAAAAGGGAGACTGGCTTATCAGCCTTGATCTTACAGATGCATATCTTCGTGTCCTGATACACCCATCATCTCTGAAATATCTACGCTTCGCAATCATTGGCTGACGCTAAGAATTCCAAGTCCTACCATTCGGGATATCAATAGCACCTTGACTATTCACCATGATTACAGCATAGGTCAAGTTTGCCCATCTCCAGCTTGTTCGAATCAATGGTTATCTGGAGGATTTCCTAGCGGCAGACCAAGGGAAAAATCAGCTACATCAGAACAAGATATTCTTGGTCCAGCTTATGACCTACCTAGGTTTCCCAGTCAGCCCAGCCAAGTCAGAGATCACTCCGGTCCAAGACATTATATACATCGGAGCAAGATTCCAGCTAGACAGGGGATATCAATGTCCTCCAGAGGATCGATTCGACAAGACTATAAAGATGATCCAATCAATCTCAAGTCAACCCAGCTAGTCGCTGAGGTGGTGGATGTCTCTGCTAGGCAACTTGACATCTCTACAGGATATGACCTTCAGAGGATGGCTGAGGCTACATCCTCTACAGACATGGTTCAACTCAAAACGATTGAAGGGCCTAGAGTTCCAGTCACAGTTACCTCCCACTTTGCTACAAGACCTCCATTGGTAGAATCACAGAGAACATGTGATGAGTGGCATCCCGCTGACTTATTCGACCCCAGAACATCATCTATTCAGAGATGCGTCAGATTCAGGATGGGGAGGTCAGATGGATGATCGTGGAGCACAGAGGAGAAGATCCTTCATATAAACTGCAGGGAAATGAAGGCCATATATTACACCATCCTGGAATGGAGAACACAGCTTCATCTACCTTCATCAGTTCTCATAGCCACAGACAACACCACAGCATATATTCAGAAGCAGGGAGGAACCAGATCCAGCTCCCTGATGATGGATTCTACATGATTGTTTGCCTTGGCAGACTCCTTCAACTGCCGGATGGAAGCGAGACATATACCTGGGAAACTGAACATACTGGCCGACAGCCTCTCACGTTGGGGGAGAATAGTGGCAACAGAATGGACATTACATCCACAGATCTCCAGCTGGATAACCAAAATATGGGACATACCACACATAGATCTATTCGCCACCTGCCAGAACAACCAACTTCCAGTTTATGTCAGTCCAGTACCCGACAAAAGAGCTCACCAGATGGGCGCTCTTTCGATGGATTGGAAGAATCTATTCAGCTATGCATTTTCACCATGGTCTCTCCTAGACAAAGTCATCCACAAGGTGGAGGAGACTGATTGCGTAATAATACTGATAGGCCCAGTATGTCCCAGCAGGACATGGTTCCCCAAACTGCTAAAGCTACTAATGAAGGAACCCATACAGCTACCACTTCATTGAGATCTGCTACGACAGCCCAGGTCCAGCATATTCCACAAAAATCTGCCCAGCCTACATCTAACCGCCTGGAAGTTATCGCGCAGAAAATGCAAACATCCGGATACTCTGAGATTGCCTCGGAAGCTGTTGAAAGATCGTGGCGACCTTCATGCTCCCTTTTATATGACAACAGATGGGACAAGTTTGTCCAGTGGAGAAGACGACTAGGGATTGTTGATAATGCTGTATCAATCCCTATGACAGCGGACTTCCTTCTTCATCTACGTCAAGACGATAAATTCAGACACAGGGCGATAGAAGGTTACAGATCAGCCCTTCATTCTGTACTCCAACATGATGGATTATCTATCGGAAACCATCCCATCCTCAACAGATTAATGAAATCTTTTCTACAAGAAGATATTAAGACCCCTCATATCTACCAAGTGGAATCTATCTGTGGTATTATTGGCACTGTTAAAGGAACCTTACGAACCCATGGCAACGTCTACCCTACTTCAAAAAGCCAGGAAAACATTGTTTCTGCTAGCCATGGCTACAGCAGCAAGAGTTTCAAAGTTACATGCCTTAGACTATTCTAGTCTTACCCATGATCAACGTTGGACTTCTATGACAGTAAGATCGCTCCCAGAATTCACAGCCAAGAACCAATCTACCACAATGGGACTGTTGGGTCATAGACACTATACAGTCCCGGTATTGGGACGAGGAGGATCCGACACCAGCAGTATCAGAGTGTAAGTACACCCTCAATTCCATTAAAATCAGATCTTTGTTTTTGCTACAGCTAAACAAAGATCTGAGGACATCCCATTACGGGTCACGTCAGACAGACCTTGCGGAAACTTTGACCGACCAATGGAATGACCAATCAGAAAGCAGCTTTCTCGTGCTTTACGGCACTAATTTCAAATTGGCGACTATACGCTTTGAAACGTATTTTGACAAATTCTCGATTACAAATTTGAAACCAGAACAAAAGAACATTCTGGAATGGCTTATAGATGGTCTAGATTGTATGGATTCAGTCGTTAAACTCGTAACTATCATTCAGAGTTGAAGATTTGAGGTTGCATGATTAGAAATCACATTCCGACTGTCACTTTCATAATCTGGTAAGAGATGCTCTGATTGGTCGGATGAAAGGTCGTTCTGAAGTGACACCTAATGGGATGTCCTCAGATCTTTGTTTAGCGGTAGCGAGAACTGAGGTCTGATTTTAATGAGATTGGTACACCCTTGATCACTCTGCTTATTGGGTGTAGAATGGATGGACATATGAATTACTCCCTCCCACCTCCCCAATTCATCTACCTCTAGTAGTAGATGATGGAAAAAAGTTATATAGCCGCCATTGTGATGTCATGGCGTTGGTAGTTATGAGACTACTTGGAGGCAACTAATTGTGTATAATTGACAGTGAAGAGGATGTCTGTTGAAAATCTGAAAATTTTAGTTCGTGTGATTGAAGCCTAAGTACAATATTTATGGCAGATAAGTAATAGAGGTAAGTATTCTTAAAATTATTAACAATGATAACATTTGTTCGATATTGCATTGTTAAGACTGAATATATTGAACAGTGTAATAATTATGACAAACAAGAAAAATTCAGACAGAAAACTTGTGTGTGAAAATACAATAAGAAGGCGATTACTTCAGGGTGAGTGAGGGAATGTAGATTATGCTGATGTCAGCAGTATTCCCGCTATGACCCTGCGACCTGTAAAGTATCCAAACACCGGACCAGGCAAACCAGTGTCTGAAAGTATGGTCAAGAATCGACACCATCAGGGTACAATGAAACAAATAATTGGTCAAATCACTGAGCCTGACCACCCCATCCATTCTTGTTGACTCTGAAGCAAAGATAACTGGGACCTATTCTAACTTTGAATCTCAAAGAGATTGATTATTTAATTCCATTATTTTTGATTGCTTGCCCAATGTTGTCACATTGCACCCTGCAGACATATCCTACAATTGTGTCACTGTCTCACCCAGCGAGACGCTCAGTTGTTCCCGCCCCCGTGGGGATTCCGGGTTAGGCATTGCCCAATCACTGGTTTGTCTGGCCCAGGCCTGTGTGAGAGAGCTATAATACTGATGGCTGCAGTGTTTAACAACAGACTGGTTCTCTGTTTTGGTGGCACAGACAGCTCTGGTTTATCTGTTCAAATCTTAATCGTAAGTTGATGCTGACTGTACACCCTCTTTGTTTCAGTGCTGTACATCATGGCCTGTTTGGTGGACTTCTTCTGCAACAATAAAGAGTATACCAGGTATTGCCATAGTAACAAGATAATGCTGATGAAGATGACTATTTAGAGAATCACAGGAAGGTTTCCAATTGGTCATTTCAATCATCGAAGGGTTTTTTAATCTATCATACGTTGATAATATTTGGTTGATATTCTAAGAGTATTGATCCCCACTTTATCTTTTGTGTCGAGATATGTTATCAAGTCCTATTCAATCAGACAGGTGAGGAGGCAGGATACAATCAATGTCTAGAACATTAATAGGTGAGGTGAGGTGAAATGGGGTTTAACGTCGTGTCCAAGATTATTGGACTTTAATAGTGACGTGCATGCACGTGTGTGTGTGTGTGTGTGGCTGCTTGTACTAGTCCGGACTGATGCCGATTTATAGGGCTAGCTCACTGAGATACCATGCCGCAGTTTTACATGAATATCCCACTCAGACACAGTATACTGACTCCGAGCCGACCAGTCCTTGTTTTAGCCCCTTAATGCCAAGCGCCAGACAGGGTAACAACAAGTACCATCTTTTATCACCTTTTGGTATGACGCGGCCGGGGATCGAACCCAGACCTTCCGCTCTATGGGCGGACGCTCTACCACAAGACCACGGAGGCAGTCTAGAACGTTAATAAACGGAAAGATACCACTATGTGTACATGAAGGTGTACAGGCTTCAGATAAGATGCGTTTGTGTGTCATATTATGTTTCTGAAATGTCTTGCCCACCCTGTCTCATTGCACATGAGCGAGTGAACGATTTGGTTTTAACGTCGCTTTGAACAGTATTCCAGTTATATCACTTCGTGTCAGCTTGATATGGGAGGAAAGCCCGAAGTGATGCAGCTCACAGATGGTTACCACTTGGGTTAAACCCACGAGCATTGGTATGGTGCTGACAGACCTAGAAACATAATTGGGGTGAACCAGGATACAAACAGACAATCATAGGTTTCTGGCCTGCCCAAGGGACGCAACTCTGCACTGCGAATTGCGACACTTTAGACGACGAGGCCACCTGTGCTCCTACCTAGCAGGGAAATGATGCAAATATCAAATCACACTACCCTGCTCGTAAATTTATGGTCGTTAAAAGTAATTTAGTGTAGATAAAATTTGACTTGCACATGACGTCACTAATGGCGTAATGTGTTTTCCTGTGAATGTTTGTGGCAGTGAGCACAGGTGCTTGACATGCATCTTCTGGTGAGAAAATGTTAATTACAGCAAGACTCAGGTTTATACCTCTCCAGTCCTTAACTCATTATCAGAGAAATCTGATTTAAAATTGCCTATGACACATACACTGCCAAACCTACGTCTTCCTGTCAGCTGCTTAAGGGGAGATAATCACGAATCATTCCCAGTTGCGTCAGGCATTGAAAAACAACCAATTAAAATTAATTGCAGTGTATCGTTTGCAGAATTGAGGAAATCGGGTTACCGGGGCATATGTTTGTTTTGAAACGACATGAAACTAGTGAAGGTGTTTTGGACTAACTTGAATGAGAAATGTCTCACTTAGTCAGTACTGAGTGTTTTCATGCTTTCTGAGGCTACAAAAAATTAGTATTTTATGGCATGTATGTTTATTCTGCATTAATTGCCATGAAGATGAATGAGTGGGAAGGAAATAGGTAGTTGAAGAATTTATTTAAGGCATGAAGAATATGGGCTGTGATTGGCCAGTCGTTAGACTTGCACAAGTCTCTAAGGCAGTGATTATTAGTTTAAATCATCATATAGATTATATAAACAATAATAGGATCAAGTTGTCCCTGTAAAGAAGTGGCATCCTTACTGTCCCCTTATCTAGACTTGGCTATTATAAGGATAGAATTACTATACAGCAATGGACTTATCATTCAGTACAGACTTGGAGCAAGGCTAGAAGTCTATGGTGCCGCAATTTGCAGTGCAGAGTTGCATCCTTTTGGCGTGACCTAATTCTATGATGTTGGGTTTGAATCACGGTTTTGCCTGATTAGGACTTTTTATTCTGAATTTTCCTGTGTATTATATTTCCATTCTAGGATTATGATCCTGGACGCAATCAATGCCGTAGCTTCGTTTTGTGTCTTATTTGAATCACACAATTCTAAAAATAACTGTCCAATCAAGTTACTCTTGAGTGGGAGAAATTCTGCACACAGTGTCTGATCAGACAAATGGCAGTGGGTCCAGGGTATTATCACAATAGATGGGAGATATTGTAAACATTGACAGGGCTCCAGTCTGTCAAACTAGTAGACAGGCAGTGATTTGTCAACACTAAACATAGCATTCATTGGTCCCTGGTATTGAATGAAAACAAATTGCGGACTACTTGAAGTAATACTGCTCTCCACAAAACTAACATTAACTTAGCAGTTTGTTGTTATTATTTTCATTTGTTGTAAACAGTTTTTGGACGACACTAAACATAGCATTCATTGGTCCTTGGTATCGAATGAAAAATATTTGGGGACTACAGGAAGTGAAAGTGTTGTCCACAACATGAGGTGAGGTGAGGTGAAATGGGGTTTAACGTCGCGTCCAAGATTATCACTTATATAGCGACGTGAATGTACGTGTGTGTGTTTGTGTGGCTGCTTGTACTAGTCCGGACTGATGCCGATTTATAGGGCTAGCTCACTGAGATACCATGCCGCAGTTTAACATGACTATCCCACTCAGACACAGTATACTGACTCTGAGCCGACCAGTCCTTGTTTTAGCCCCTTAATGCCGAGCGCCAGACAGGGTAACAACAAGTACCATCTTTTAACGTCTTTTGGTATGACGTGGTCGGGGATCGAACCCCTGACCTTCCGCTCTCCGGGCGGACGCTCTACCACTAGACCACGGAGGCGGTGTCCACAACATGAACATTAACAAGGCAGTATGTTGGAATTATTATCGCTCAAAACAAACTTTCGAGGTGATATGTGTGTCAGAAAATAACTCGGCATCGGTAATAAGGACGTAATGCAGGTGCAGCTATAAGCAGATATGCTACAGATATGAACCATTTTTTGAGACGCCTCCTCTTGTAAAAGCGCTGAGCTTGCATCACTTAGCAACAGTGGAATCAGTGGAATTGTAAACACTGAATTATCAGTGATGCCTGTCACTTTACAATTTGTGACCAACCATGAGATAAGGGACCTAATGGGTGAAATATCACATTTTGAATTTTCAAAAATACAAACACAAGCTTCAGTTCACATTTATTACAGAGATACATGACATCAAACATTTCAACTCATTCTCTGACATATAACTGTTTATGTAGTAATTGTAGTTTTTAGACACAATGTCTGATGAATTGAAAGTAGATATGTATGCTGAAAGGTTTTGAAATTATGTTTTTATTACATTACGAACTAACGAGGGAAGAATAAGATATTTTTACCAGACTGCACACATGGCGATCTTCACTTAACTAAGCTGACGTCAAACATCTTTATGACGTCATAGCACAATTGTTTCCTGGTACCCATAAGCTCTCTTTTCACCTGGTGGGTCACATTTAATGCATCTTCCCGAGGCAAGAGAGTTAACTGACCATAAAAGTCCAGTTTCCACCCTTGCTGAACTAGGATGGTATTATGGAGTTGGCCGGACTAACGAGTCTATGCATAGTCCAATCAAAATTGCGCACCAAAATCGAAATCTGGTTCGTAAACTGTTGTGCAGATTTCGATTGATTGCAAGATTTGCAAAGTATGTGCACTGCCAACTCGTTGTCAACAGATATTTTCCAAATCTTTTCATGTTTTTAATCAAGGTGCTCGCGTGATTTGATGCATTTCGTGATGTAAGACCCATTTTATTACAATATAGATCTTGCTTATCGATCAGATCGTCCTGACTGGGCGCCACCATTTTGTGTGAAGCAAACGCAAGTGATGGAATCTGATTGGTCCATAGGAGAGGCGTAACTGGTAATAGCCACTGGTGGCGCTACGATAGAGCCCAGTAATTCCAGCCTAGTTCGTCAAGGGTGGAAACTGAACTTTTAAAGTCAGTTAACTCCCTTGCCTCGGGAAGATGGGCAGTTAATGATGTTTGGATGAGTGGTTGGGAACATAGTGTGGACATACATCAGTGTGAACAGGCATATTCAGTGTGTTGTTATTGACCCAATGATAATTTGTTTTTTTTACCTCTGATAATTACTGAACTGGTAGTCATGCCTGTCTTTCATTGTCAAAATAGATCTCATTAGTAATGCCAGGAAATCAGTATTATGAATATGTTTATATTAGTTATTAATAAAATTCAAATGATTTGAATATCTAAAACTAATTCATGTGAGCTACTTTGAACTGTTTTTGATGGTACCCAAATTTGTTGGCTGGGAAGATATCACAACGTTTTGTTTATTTAAAAAATTGTCATGTGGGATGTTTACAACACTGAAGCACTTTACAAGGTGACAATTGTAGTGGGATGTCAGTGTTTGCAAGCAAGTCACCAGGTACACTATGGTCGGAGTCAAAGCATTGACACAATATATGAAGCTCTTACTTTGTGACTCAAGTCAATTTATTGAGCTCATAAAGAGATAAACATCAACTTATGTTTGTTTTTCCCAGGATGAAGACAGGTGTGAAAATTGGCGACATCACCATGACTTTTAAGTCCATTTATCAAGACGTCCTTGTTGCCACAGGACATGTCCATGGCCCCTCAGTGAGTTCACCTTTCCACACATTTCACCGCATAACATTAGTGGTCTAAGGGAGGCAACCCTATTTTGGTGGTTGACCTAACATATTGGGCGTGGCTTACTTCCCTTGTATTGAAATAAATTTGTTTTTCCTCGATAACTAATTTGCACTTTAATAATGTGTGTTTCTGTCATTCATCCTGCTTATGTGATACATGTGTATTTTTTACTTTATTTTAAAGACATCAAAATGTTTTTTGTCAAATGTCTCAAGATGTGGATTTTCTCACTAGTGAGGGTATACTGTGATGTTTTGATGATACCATTTGAATTTCAATATTAATAAATCCTCTGGGAATAATTATCAATGACTGCAATATGCAAATGCTTGTATATGTTTTAGGTGGTGATTTTACAGGAGCTTCAACACATTCATACACTTGATTCATTGATATCAGTTCTTTCGGTTAATTCATGAATGGATAGTTTGAAGTTTTTATTCAAAATTCGGAATTTAAAGTTTATAATGTTATTTGCACATACAAACTTTGGTGTAAAATGTTGCGATTTCAGGGTCCACTGAAAGAGGAAACTGTGAAGAACCTGAGCAAGTACGTCCTGAAAGATGACCGCCTGCCCGTGCTGCTGGACAGGTCAGTGTTGTGGAGACGAATATACTTAAGAAATAAACGATGAGTGGGAGCTGTTTATCATACAATAAAACACTTCTGGGAGAAGAGACGGCCATATGGGGAGTAGGATTATATCTCCTCATGCCAATTGTTATATCTCTCCCTCTTTTGAATGCGGTTGATCGGCCACTGTGTTTATCTGCATAGCCTAGCTACATCTATGGGAACAAATTACTAGACACTTCCCTCTTGAAAATATCATCGTCAAATATATGACGTCATTAAGTTGCAAGCACATATTCAAATCACCAGAAATGATGCCATGATAGAACAATGTTTTATCGTAAAATAAATCGCTCTTAGTTCTTCATTGTTCTTTACGATTTATCGCGTAGCTATCTTATATAGTTGAGTAAGCCATAGCTTGGTGAGGGGCTTTGAAGCTGCTCTATACATTCATAGTCAGGAGTGTTAGCAGTTGATGGCTTGAGTTAGTTGTATGGTTTTACACCGCTTTTAGCAATATTCCAGCAGTATCACAGCAGGGGACACCAGAAATGGGCTTCACACATTGTCCCCATGTAGGAAATCAACTTGGGTCTTCAGCGTGATGAGCGAACGATTTACCCACCAGGCTACCCCACCACCCCCTCATGGCTTGAAACACCCCGATGGTGCAGATGAGGTGACTGACGATCTTTACTCCAGTGGAACCCATGTGCATGGGTAGCCTACAGACCAAGTATTCACGTAATCAGGATCAAATTGGAATTTGAACCAAGGACCAAAAGATCCTGCCACCTACTAAGGGATGCAACTCTGCATGGGAAAATGTGGCACCTTGCACCTCTAGCTTGATGTCCATCTGTTATGTTGCTGATGAATCTATATCAAACTGGTTATGGGAAAAAGTCAGACTTTGTTACAAATTTCCTTTGCCATATCATTCGTTTGTTTGCTGCTATTTTGTTTAATCAATTATTTTGGTGTTTCTAGATTGCGAAGGAATGGTGCCAAAGTGTTTCTTGCCACAAATAGTGGCTACACTTATTCAGATGTGAGTATATTGACATTTTACATTTTTTTAAATGAATTTGTTTGTTGTGGGATGCTGCAGTCAGCAATAATGTCTCTGTATCTCGCTGTCCTGTGATGAATATAGACACACCAGTGGCTGATATATATAGAATATTATGATTGTGAGTTTTATATCCTGTATTAGAATAAGCATTGCATTTAGCAAGTCTTACAATATGTGCATTCATAATGCGCCAAATTACGTTCACAAAGGGGATGCTCATAGCGCTACACTATTATTACTATGCTAAATGGATCAGTGTACGCTCGATTTTCATTCTCAACTCCTTGTGGAGTATACAACCCAAGCTGCCCTTACCATCTACCGTTTTACTCACCACTGGTTTGCCTGGTCCTGCAGCAGCAGTAACTGATTACAGAATAAAACTCACTCACTCACTCACTCACTCACTCACTCACTCACTCACTCACTCACTCACTCACTCACTCAGACCATAAATGTCTGTACAAACGTATGAAGAAGAGATATCTTAGACTATCAAATCCATTGTTACTTTCATTAACATTTGTACTCTATTCTGTTCAAGTAGTAATAAACCGCCTCCTTGGTCTAGTGGTAGAGCGTCCGCCCAGAGAGCGGAAGGTCCAGGGTTCGATCCCCAGCTGCGTCATACCAAATGACGTTAAAAGATGGTACTTGTTGTTACCCTGTCTGGTGCTCGGCATTAAAGAGCTAAAACAAGGACAGGTCGGCTTGGAGTCAGTATACTGTGTCTGAGTGGGATATTCATGTTAAACTGCGGCATGGTATCTCAGTGAGCTAGCATCATAAATCTGCATCAGTCAGGACTAGTACAAGCAGCCACACCCACACCCACACCCACACCCACACCCACACCCCTGTCTGAACTGTGCCCTGTCTGAACTGTGCCCTGTCTGAACTGTGTCCTGTCTGAACTGTGCCCTGTCTGAACTGTCTCCTGTCTGAACTGTGTTCTGACTGAACTGTCTCCTGTCTGAACTGTTCCCTGTCTGAACTGTGTCCTGTCTGAACTGTGCCCTGTCTGAACTGTCTCCTGACTGAACTGTGTCCTCCTTTCAGAAAGTCATGAGCTATATGCTGGACTACCCTCCAGAGAAGGTAAGGACAGTGCATACCTGCTGCAGGAATTCACAACATTGTTTCTTGAATATTTCTGTATTGATTAAAAATGAGTGATCTTTTAGGTGTTCAAGTGGGAATTGATTTATTTCAAGTAGGGCTGATTTACAGTGTAATTCATGACTTGAATTAGTACACAAAGTATGTTTGATCTTAGAGAAGATGCAGCTATGGCTTTGTGTTATTCATGGCTTTAACACGAAGTGTGTTTGATCATAGGGATAGTTATGTTTGGTTATCATGACGAGGACTACATGCAGTATGAAAATATACTCACTCACTTATTCAGCCTGGGAATGGTAGTTTTACACATGCTCAACTTTAAAACAAATCATACTTGTATTGTAATGAGCTTGTAACGCAACATTACGAACCAAGGGCCCTGTTCCACAGAGTGATCTTTGACTGTCATAAGCCTATGTTAAAGTAGGAAGTTACAATCATCTTAGTGCTAGACTGTCATAGGCCTATGTTAAAGTAGGAAGTTACAATCACCTTAGCGCTATGACTGTCGTAAGTCTATGTTAAAGTAGGAAGTTACAATCATCTTAGTGCTAGACTGTCGTAAGTCCATGTTAAAGTAGGAAGTTACAATCATCTTAGTGCTATGACTGTCATAAGTCTATGTTAAAGTATGGAAGTTTCAATCATCTTAGTGCTATGACTGTCATAAGTCTATGTTAAAGTATGGAAGTTTCAATCATCTTAGTGCTATGATCGCTTTGTGGAACAGGGCCCTGGTAATGAACTAGCACTGTGCCATTATGAGAACTGACATGATCTTGAGAACCTGTTCAGTCAACAGACACCAAGCGGGACTGGACGTCGTACTTCGACTACATCGTGGTGGACGCCAGGAAGCCGCTGTTCTTCACGGAGGGAACCATCCTGCGTCAAGTGGACCGGGTGAGTCGCTGGGGTCTGTGGCAGACGTCAAATATGTCAAGGTATCTCGTGCGGGATATTTATTGTTACGACAACTATAGGGAGAAATGAGTCATTCCTATCAATCTTCAGACTTTAGTTAGCTTAGTATAAGTATCTCTCTCCCATCTGTTCAACTTTGTGTGGCCTTGTGGTTAAAGTGCTGGATCATCACCCCGAAGACCTGTATTCAAATTTATGTGGCTAACACCATACTCACTCAGTCAGTTCATGCGTTTGACAGAAAATCTCTAAAATATTGACGAGTGCAATATAATGAAAATGAGTTTGTCTGGAAAGTTACATCACAGCTTGCTGTCATTAGATCTTGTTATTAGAAACATCAAAGACACCTACAATACTGAAGATTTATTTAAGAAAATGTATTAATAACATTACAGTTGTAGGGGAAACCTACCCAGTTTAACATTGATTTAGACAGTTAGTGTTAGACAGTGTTGAGTGCATGAGGTCCTCATAGAACGTCAATGTGTGTTTCAACCTTGACCTATCTGTGATACTTTAAATATACATTGCTGTTTACCTGTATAAGACTAGCCCCACCTGTCTTTGTACCTTTCCTTTGGGACCGCCTCCGTGGTCTAGTGGTAGAGTGTCCACCCGGAGAGCGGAAGGTCCGGGGTTCGATCCCCGACCACTTCATACCAAAAGACGTTAAAAGATGGTACTTGTTGTAACCCTGTCTGGCGCTCGGCATTAAGGGGCTAAAACAAGGACTGGTCGGCTCAGAGTCAGTATACTGTGTCTGAGTGGGGTTTTCATGTTAAACTGCGGCATGGTATCTCAGTGAGCAAGCACTATAAATCGGCATCAGTCCTGACTAGTACAAGCAGCCACACAAACACACACACGTACATGCACGTCGCTATATAAGTGCAATAATCTTGGGCGCGACATTAAACCCCATTTCACCTCACCTCACCTCACCTTTGCTTGGAAATAAAAATATTTGAGAAAAAAGTAAAATTTTTCTAAGCTGATGTTGCACTCATCTGTGTATCTGCACATGTAGGTGTTAAAGCAGCTACATTACCATCAGCCTAGAGATGTGACCATTATCATTGATTATCATCAATTTCAGGACACTGGATCTCTGAAGATTGGAACACACACCGGGCCCATCAAGACAGGGCAGATCTACTCAGGGGGTGGGTGCACATGCTATTCCACTGCCATGGTAACACAAACTTAAAATGAAAATCGGACCAGTTTTATACTCGATCAGAAAGGGAATTCGGTCATTACCGTATTCGACGTAATAAGTGCCCAGGGAGTTGAAAGATTAATTTCATGGTTTATGCTGACAGTCTGAATTGTTTATATATGACAGATACATTTTTCCAGAATTTAATTGCCCATAATTAAGGGTGCATATAACACACGAGTGCGTATTATACATGAATAAATAAGTCTTGTGTACATTGATCAATCGGAAGGGGGGGCTAATTGGGGTTGTTCACTTGCCAATATATTAGCAAATATCGCCGTGGGCGCTTATTAGAGCGGGGTGCTTATTACGTCGAATACGGTAGTAACATTCAGTTAGGGACTGGTCACTTATTATAGGGGCTGGTGGGCTGGTTGGATTGGTCTTAGGTCTGTATCATATTTCGCTGACCATCTTTTCATAGCACACACACACACACACCACACACACACACACACACCACACACACACTCTACAATAAATCAACAAATGACCAGTCCCTTAATAATGTACACAGTTGGTTTTTTTATGAAAAAAGAGAACTGACATTCTTTAATGCCCCCTCCCCCTCGACAAAATTGTCAATATTTCATGACAATCCCCCACCTCAATCTCCAATACGCACACACACCCTACAATAAATGACCTACAGTTAATTGTCAGTAAATGAAGAAGTACACTTTAACATTGCATGAAGTTGCTTCCTGCAGAGTGAGTGAGGAATGGTGATCTGTGTTGTGTATCAGGTTCCGTGGACCAGTTCTCGGAGCTGATGGGAACGTATGGCAGTGAGGTCCTCTACGTTGGGGATCACATATTTGGAGATATTCTCAAGTCCAAGAAGAGCCGAGGATGGCGAACCTTCTTGATCGTCCCCGAGATCACCCAGGAACTCCAAGTGTGGACGCACAAGCAGTCCCTGTTCTCCAAGCTGGAGGAACTTGACTGTAAGATCGGAGAGATTTACAAGTGAGTACCCCTGAACAAGCTGCGGAAGAAGAGGGACGATCAGTTTCAGCTTCCAGATTAGTACTGCTACTTATGAAAGAACCCCCCAAGATAATTGATTTTCGGGGGTTGTTGGTATGTTTTATTCATCATTTCTTATGAGTGAGTGAGTGAGTATGGTTTTATGTGGCTGTTAGCAATATTCACAGCAGGGGACACCAGAAATGGGCTCGACACATTGTACCCATGTGGGGAATCAAACCCAGATCTTCGGCGTGACGAGCGAATGCTTTCACCATAAGGCTACCCCACATTTCGTATGAACAGCAATGATAAAATCTTTTGTTTTATTTCACTTCACCTAAATGTAAAACAGAAACGGCCAAAAAATATATTGTCAAAAGTCATTATGTTTTTTTCTTATTTTAGTTTTTTGTTGTTTGTCACTCTTGTAAACTAGCTAACAAAATATAAGTCCCAATGGCCTCTTTCTCATGACCCTAATGTTAAATGTAACAAGTCAAGAGTCATCAGATTCAAATACCAGAGCAGCAAACCTCAAGGACCCAGGAACCCCATTAATTTCGAACACTGCAAGCTGCGTGCCATGCAATATATGCAACAGGTGTGCAAGATGTGTACTTTGTTTCAGAAACCTTGACAGCAGCAGCCAGGTGAAACCGGACATCAGCCGAATACAGACATCCATTAGGGTAAGATGTGTCTCCCTGGTCCTTGTTGCACGGGGCGATCTTAGCGCTACAATTATTATAAGTCTATGTTAAAGTATGGGAGTTACAATCGTCTAAGTGCTAAGATGTCTTTGTGAAACGGTGCCCTGGTTCTCCCAGGTTCTAAGCAATCTTAGCCCTACGACTATCGTATGCCAGTGTTAAAGTATGGGAGTTAGGATCACCTTAGCGCTAAGATGGTTTTGTGGAATGGGCCCTAGATCTCTGGGAGAACCAGGGCACCGTTTCACAAAGCAATCTTAGCCCTATGACTATCGTATGCCAGTGTTGAAGTATGGGAGTTATGATCACCTTAGCGCTAAGATGGTTTTGTGGAATGGGCCCTAGATCTCTGGGAGAACCAGGGCACCGTTTCACAAAGCAATCTTAGCCCTATGACTATCGTATGCCAGTGTTGAAGTATGGGAGTTATGATCACCTTAGCGCTAAGATGGTTTTGTGGAATGGGCCCTAGATCTCTGGGAGAACCAGGGCACCGTTTCACAAAGCAATCTTAGCCCTATGACTATCGTATGCCAGTGTTAAAGTATGGGAGTTACGATCACCTTAGCGCTAAGATGGTTTTGTGGAATGGGCCCTAGATCTCTGGGAGAACCAGGGCACTGTTTCACAAAGCAATCTTAGCCCTATGACTATCGTATGCCAGTGTTGAAGTATGGGAGTTATGATCACCTTAGCGCTAAGATGGCTTTGTGGCACTCGGCCCAGAGACTGGCTATTAATTCAAGGCGGGCTGAAAAAAATCATGGGAGGTAAACCAAAAAGATGGGAATTGGTAAAAAAAACTGTCAAGCATTTTGGCAGGGTCTGTTATTACAGTATTTGGAATAGGTATTCGTTTTGGCTAAAAAAGTAATTGTTTTTGTATTTATTCTAGGAAACCACTCATGAGATGGATATGGCGTATGGAATTCTGGGAAGCCTCTTCAGAAGTGGTGAGAAAATGTTTGTCTTTCTCTGAACCAACTATAATATGTATAACAAATTATGTGTGTCCTTAGTAGAGTGGTCGGTATTTTATGAAGGTCTCGAGGTGTAATTGATTCTCAGAGGGTCTCGGAGTGTACTGGATTCTAGGAAGGTCTCAGGGTGTACTGGATTCTAGGAAGGTCTCGGGGTGTACTGGATTCTAGGAAGGTCTCGGGGTGTACTGGATTCTAGGAAGGTCTCGGGGTGTACTGGATTCTAGGAAGGTCTCGGGGTGTACTGAATTCTAGGAAGGTGTCAGGGTGTACTGAATTCTAGGAAAGTCTCGTGGTGTACTGGATTCTAGGAGGGTCTCATGGTGTACTGGATTCTAGGAGGGTCTCGGGGTGTACTGGATTCTAGGAGGGTCTCGGGGTGTACTGGATTCTAGGAGGGTCTCGAGGTGTACTGGATTCTAGGAGGGTCTTGGGGTGTACTGGATTCTAAGAGGGTCTCGGGGTGTACTGGATTCTAGGTGGGTCTCAGGGTGTACTGGATTCTAGAAAGGTCTCTGGGTGTACTGGATTCTAGGAGGGTCTCGGGGTATACTGGATTCTAGGAGGGTCTTGAGGTGTACTGGATTCTAGGAAGCTCTCGGGGAGTACTGGATTCTTGGAAGGTCTTGGGTTGTACTCGATTCTTGGAAGGTCTCGAGGTGTACTGGATTCTAGGAAGGTATCGGAGTGTACTGGATTCTAGGAGGGTCTTGGGGTGTATTGGATTCTAGGAGGGTCTTGGGGTGTACTGGATTCTAGGAGGGTCTTGGAGTGTACTGGATTCTAGGAGGGTTTTGGGGTGTTTCGGATTCTAGGAGGGTCTTGGGGTGTACTGGATTCTAGGACGGTTGAGGGATTGACAGGATTTTGGAAAGCTCGAGGTGTGTGCAGAAACTTTTAGAAGTCTATGAGTGTTCAGTATTCAATGAGGGTCCAGGTTGTATTGGATTTCATGGTGTACTGGATTCTAGGAGGGTCTCGGGGTGTACTGGATTCTAGGAGTGTCTCGGGGTGTACTGGATTCTAGGAGGGTCTCGAGGTGTACTGGATTCTAGGAGGGTCTTGGGGTGTACTGGATTCTAAGAGGGTCTCGGGGTGTACTGGATTCTAGGTGGGTCTCAGGGTGTACTGGATTCTAGAAAGGTCTCTGGGTGTACTGGATTCTAGGAGGGTCTCGGGGTATACTGGATTCTAGGAGGGTCTCGAGGTGTACTGGATTCTAGGAAGCTCTCGGGGAGTACTGGATTCTTGGAAGGTCTTGGGTTGTACTCGATTCTTGGAAGGTCTCGAGGTGTACTGGATTCTAGGAAGGTATCGGAGTGTACTGGATTCTAGGAGGGTCTTGGGGTGTATTGGATTCTAGGAGGGTCTTGGGGTGTACTGGATTCTAGGAAGGTCTTGGGGTGTACTGGATTCTAGGAGGGTCTTGGAGTGTACTGGATTCTAGGAGGGTTTTGGGGTGTATTGGATTCTAGGAGGGTCTTGGGGTGTACTGGATTCTAGGACGGTTGAGGGATTGACAGGATTTTGGAAAGCTCGAGGTGTGTGCAGAAACTTTTAGAAGTCTATGAGTGTTCAGTATTCAATGAGGGTCCAGGTTGTATTGGATTTTACAAAGGTCAAGGGGTGTACAGTATGTAACAAAGGTCATGGGGTTTATAGGAGTTTACAAAGGTCAAGGGGTTTACTGTATTTAACAAAGGTCCAAATATTATCAGCCGACTTTGTTCTCATGGAAGAACACATTTTCATGTTTCTCTGTTTCCAGGATCCCGCCAGACATTCTTCGCCAGCCAGGTGATGCGGTACGCCGACCTGTACGCTGCGTCGTTCATGAACCTCATCCACTACCCCTTCACCTACATCTTCAGGGCCCCGGCCATGCTGGTAATACTACAGCCTTGAAATACTGATTGCCACACAACTCATCACATGCAAATCCAGAATGGAATATTTGCAAACCTAAATGACTTTTCACACGAATGTTTTTTCTCAAATGAATGATTACATGAGTAAAAGTAGTTGACAGATTAACCAGAGAGGTGTTACATATGAATCCGTTTTCATAACATCTTTATTTACATATGAGTAACCACTACAATCAACATTCTTAAACAAGACTAAAGTTGGTAATGCTTTATGGATTTGGTAAAAAAATCCTTGTAAGCAAATAGCAAATAGACATTATTGTTTGTGCTTCAAGACATGTTTGGGTCAGGTCATTAATATTATAGGTGGAGGGGAGATTGGTCTTAGGACTGTATCATATTTTGCTAACCCCTCCCCCATTTTATATACCAGTTTTTCCTGCCTTACCCCCCCCCCCCCCCAAAAAAAAAAATTAAATAAATAACTATTTTAAAAAGTAAATAAATAAATAAATAAATAAATCCATGTAACGTTTAATAGAATTGTGTCATTTCTTCATATCATCAGAGAGGATTTATGATTCTGACCAAGGCCCAACCGAGACTGATATTGACGCTCGTCTCGCAGCAGTTCCATTTGTCCTGAGTGTTTCAACTCTCTGTTGCCAGATGCCTCATGAATCGACTGTAGGCCATGATGCTCCTCTTGAAGATGACACTTCTCTGTGTTTCGCCGACCGGTCCCGCTCCAATGAGGGAGTCGCTCACAACGAGACCCCGAAACGCTACCGTCTGACCCGTAGCGCTAGCCTCGTGCCCCGCCTGCACGCCCCTACTCCGAGGCAGTTCACCCAAGTTCAGGACGACGACGACGTTGACGGCTTCAACCCTCTCGCCCCATCTGTTGGAAGTCTAGCAGAAGGGGAGGAGGAGGACAATATGTAAAGGGGGATAACTCTGGGTTATCCTCTCACGTGGTTGATGTCAAGTGGCTAGTGTGTTCATTCAAGGCTCTGGTTGGAGTCTTGCCATGAGAAGAGATACTGAACAGAAAAAGTTATAGATCATGACTATTTCTTAGGATACTTTTTTGTGTGTGGTCAGTTTTCACAACAAAAATATGTCCCAAACTATTCATGATCCCTAACATTTTTTGTTGAGTATATGTGGTGTTCACAAGAGAGTCATCTTAAACCTCACATCACCATGTGGTATTAATTCTGGGCCCTGTTCCAGAAAGCGATCTTAGCACTAAGGTGATCGTAAGTCCCATACTCTAACATAGGTTTACGATCATCGTAGCGCTAAGATCGCTTTGAGGAACAGGGCCCAGGTCTACAGAGGGGCCATGGTTTGTTTTATTTTACAATCTTAGCCAAGCTTCATAGAAAATACTCACCTGCATGTCCCATGACATGATCAGGTTGTTGTGTATATTGCTTTATGAGAGTTACACCGATAGCTATCTACTTCTTGTATTAATCCATCGAGCAAAACCTCTAGGATCAAGGAAACTGTGTTAGTATAACTCAACATGTATTCTTTACAGTTTAAATGTTAACTGAGTGAAAGCTCGTTTCTTCCTTATTATATTTGATTATCATTTTGATGTAGTTGATTACAGTAAGCAAGTTCTACTCAACTTTTAAGTTAAGTGTGGCTGAATCAATTTGACCAAATCTATCTCAGTGATGCAGGGTGTGCCATGCTCTGTTTCCATGGTTATTATTTCTCATGTCTTGAAGTATTGTGATAGCTAATGGAGAACAGAGTATCACAATGTAATAAATGCTTTATTTGGGATAACATTTTCCTGGTAAAGTACAAATTCTAGTACTTTTGGGGGTTGAGTCCCATCCAGTCAGAATTACACAGTCATATGGAACATCTGAGTTTGGAATCTCATTTTGTGAAATGTTTTACAGTCTTTATTGTTTAAGCTTCTCAGTGTTTTTAGTTAGAGATCATCTTTGTTTTAATCAAGTTTCTTATTGTCTGTTCTGTTTGAAGTGGCGATCTTGTAGTCGAGTGACCATGAGAGTGTGTTTTATGCAGACTGTTACATAGTTGAGCCATTCCAGAGAGTTTCGTTGAACTTTGATGCAACTTTATGTGAGTTAGATGCAATGTATAAGTAAATGTACAGAATATTCCTCAATATTGTCCACTTTTGTAAATGGCATATCGGTACTGACTAGTATACCTTTGTGATATATATATTTTGGCAAATATTTTTTAACTACGCAAAATAAAATATGCATATTAATGAGAAAAGCTATGGTATGCCGCACACTGCCACTGTAGTACAAAATGTTTTTGTTTGATATTTTTTACATGTTTGTGACCTTTTCAGACTTCTGCTCACAGTATCCCAATAGACTTGTAGCAATAGCATGAAGCACATATATATCAATTTTATATTTTAGAATGTTCATTTTGATAGTTTTACCCTTTTTTCTTTACAACCCATGTGATGTGATATCTGTTGATTTGGTATATGATTGAATCTTAAACTCAACGTGCAATGATCACCTCAAGGCCCTGTACCACTTCTTGATGTTAGTTGTCACACTACTGGTACATTTCCATCATCCAAAATTTAATTTTTAAGTTGATAAAAATCTCAAATCGAATGACGTCATTAACACTGTCAACAGATCAGCATGCATTCAAATTGCTCTCTTACCTTCCTGGAGGTAACTTTCTCTTCACATCATCTTACCAGGTACCCATTTACAGCTTGATGGAAGGCCTTTTCCAAATGTGTGTGAACTATAGACTGGGAACATCCGAACTATTGACCGATCATGTTACAAATTCTTGTTTTAATAACCCATTCTGAAAAGAATCTCATGGTAATACTAAGGCATCACGGGGCGGTGGGGTAGCCTAGTGGTTAAAGCCTTCGCTCGTCCAAGGTTCGATTCCCAACATGGGTACAATGTGTGAAGCACATTTCTGGTGTTCCCCGCCGTGATATTGCTAGAATATTGCTAAAAGGGGCGTAAAATCAAACTCATTCACTCACTAAGGCATCACATTCATTTAAATACAGAAAGTAATATGCTGCTGTCAGTAATATTTGGGATGATAGAATGAATGTTGAAAATACCCGGATATTTATAATACAAAACCAAGTGTGTTCCCTTTGGACATGAAGTGTATGTGCAGGATGAATATCAGATGTTGTTGCTCTTTAGCCCATGTCAATATTTTATGAACTTTATAGCTCTTATTATACTGTATTATGTGATGAAATAAAGATTTCTAATCATGTCATGTTTTCATGCTGTTTTCCCACTTTTACCTGTGCATGTAGTAGTTAATATATATTTTACAAATAAGGAGTGAGTGAGTGAGTGAGTGAGTGAGTGAGTATGGTTTAGCATACAACAACACTCACGTGGAATGTACACACTGATACTCATAAAGACATACCAGTAACACATAATACCTGGATACAAAATTTAATTTATGATCGAATTGCTGTGCAGAGTTGTGTCCCCTAGGTATGCCTGGATCATATGAATGTTGGTTCCAAATCCTACATTCATTTATAGTCCTTTGTGTGCCAGGACCACACTGTGCTTGTGTGTTGTTTTTTCACTTTGGGATTGGCTCCCACATCAAGCTGACTCGCTGTGATATGACCGAAATACTGTTCAAAGCGATGCTGAACCAAACTCACTCCCATCAGTGCTAGAAATTAAGGGATCCTCGGTTCCTTGCAGTTTCATGCCATAGAATTTCAAGTTATATAAATAAACCCTCTAATTTTGTATTTCTAAAATATTGGCATTATTATGAATATCACAAGGACCGCCATGGTTTTCATTCTTAATTTCAAACACTGTTAAAAAACATGACAAACACATAACTTACATTATTGGATTATTATTGTATTTCACAGTATCCAACATTTCAGATAGACCCGATAAGTTTGATCGTTCATCGTTCATGAGAAGATAATATACATGATATAGGTGGTCAAAAATAAATAATATCTGCATAAAATTTAATATGATAAATAGGTCTCTAAATACAATACTCTGTATACCATACTTGTATGAATACATCTTCTGTTGATGTGGCACTGGCAACAAACTAACGTGGTGAATTCCTGTAGACCAATAAATGATACATATATAAATCTACACAAAGGTAATGTTCTATAACAAGGCTGTAGGTCACCTACTGCTGGGCAATTTGTACTCTAGAAACGAGAAATAGAGGGCTGTAGGCATAGTGATATTGAAAATCACTTTCACATCATGCTACAACAGCTTGAAAGTCAAAAAGAGTCTAGACCTTGTTTACGGTTTAACGCTTCACAAAGCGTCACAGTGAGGCAGAAACTGACATTTCATCCCAATGCTCTCTTCCGACCCGTGAAGATTCCGGGGTAGAATAGGTCTTCAGCAACCCATGCTTGCCGTAAAAGCTGACTATGCTTGTCGTAAAAGCCGACTAATGGGATCGGGTGGTCAGGCTTGCTGACTTGGTTGATGCATGTCATCGATCCCAATTGCGTGGATCGATGATCATGATATCAATCACTGGATTGTCTGGTCCAGACTCGATTATTTACAGACCGCCGTCATATAGCTGCAATATTGCTGAGTGCGGCGTTAAACAACAAACAAACAAACAATGCTCTCTTCTTATCACATAAGGTGTTCAGTGGGGCTGAAATATTAGATCTACCTGTCCATGCATTTTACAATATGCAGTATATGCAGACTGTGTAACAATATGTACTAGAAACATACAATGTGATTGTGTGCTCATATTTGTAAAGCTTGTCGATTCTGTTGAATTCACTTTCTCATGTCTTGGGACCTTATTTCGTATTTGGAACTGATTTATTAATGTGAGACACTAAAGGTTTGTCACATGATAAAGACATATTTTCATAAAAGGACAAATTAAAGAAAACATTTCAGCAAGATATGATCAACATATCAATACATATCATAATGGACAAAGTATTTTGCAATTAATCAATCAATTGCATAGTAAATGATATAATTTCACAACAAGCTGCAATTATCAATATGAACATTCAGCATTTTCTCCACTAACTATGACATCAGTTCTTGCATTATATAATATAAATGTAACGCTACTTTCCCAGGGAATTATCATTTCCAGAAGCCCGAGGTCGTCCATTAACTGTCTGACAAAGGAGGGCAGTTGAAAAGACCGAGGGCTTCTGCAAATGATAATGCCTTGAAAAATTATTATAGCTAAAATAGATAGAATATGTTATCAAATAAAATAAACAATATCGATTTTGAAACATTTACTGCAATCAACACACAACAAATGTCACTGACCCACTTTTACAAATATGGAAACATCACTGAACAAACCAGATGACGTCACTATTGAATGTCACCTATCCCTATACCTATGACGTCACCTAACAACAGGCATGATAATGGCCCGTCGTCAAGCAATATGAGGGCATTATCAAGCTACAGCATGTACAGTGGCCCGCTCATTTCTGATAACATGAGGGAGGTTTATTGATCATTCTATCCATTTTCGCCATAATTCCCTATAGCAGTTTACATCTATTACATCATTAGCCATAAACTCCTGTTTGGGCTCTCATCACACTATAAAATCTGTAAGATTTTCATCCGACACCCCCTTCACTGATACACATTTCTAATTGTTGTGAGGGAAATTGCTAGATGCAACTGTCACTTCTTTACTGCGTTTCCAGATGTAAATATAAAAATTGTTGGGATCACGTTTGTCGGATTATTTCACACTGTAACTTCTTGAGACCGTCAAAAAGGGAGTGAGTGAGTGAGTTGGGTTTAACACCGCTTTTAACAGTATTCCAGTTATATCACGGTGTGTCAGCTTAATGTGGGAGGAAAGCCCGAAGTGATTCAGGTCTCAGACGTTTACCACTTCGGTGAAACCCACGAGCACGGGTATGGTGCTGACAAACCTAGAAACATAATCAGGGCAAACTGAGATTCTAACAATCATATGTTTCTGGCGTGCCCAAGGGATGCAACTCTGCACAGCAAATCACGGCATCTTAGACGACTGCCCCCCCCCCCCCCCCCATCAAAAAGACAAGTACAGATACAACGATAGAAACTAACAGTTTCAGCCCACTAGTCCATATACCAAACCCCCCCCACACACACACACACAAAAGGGCAAATTTCTACTAGTCCTTAGGATACCTTAAGTATTGGGCAACTTGGCAAGGACAATAGGACTAGTGCCAATTTCTAACTCTGAGATAGAGAGCAGATATAACAGATTAGGGAGTATAAAAAAGTTCTCGTAAGTACCAGGTAGTTAGTTTAGAAATGTATTGTTGGAGATGGACTCTCCCTCTCCCTCTCCATCTGGTGTCTGTTTCTTTGATCAACTGGTCTGAGATCTCCACCCTTGGTGCCAAGCATACAAAAGGAGTTACTATTCCCTAACTTCAGGATGGAAGGTCTGCAAACATCTATCAATGGAAGAGTTTAAGAAACTTTCCAAGGTTTGGGGTGTTAAACTGAAACCATCAAGAAAGACCACTAAATCATCGGCTAAAAACTACCATTCTAACTACACTTAATAGGATGAAGGGGAAAGTATTGTAGTAAGACGATCTCCACTTCCGTCGGAGACATCGGTTTCCCTCGGAAGTGTTCAGGCAGCTGAGGCCAAGATGCATGTGGCGGAGCACTGCCGGAAAAGAGTCTGTCTGCAACCGAAGCTTCTAACAAGGTAAAAATCCCTAGTTCCGAGCTAAGCAGTCGCAGGTCATATTTTGACATTACACTACAAGGATCGGGCCGTACGATCATACTACCAATTGACGAAATCCTCAGAGTAGCTAATCACCATATTCTTCGCGGATGTAAAATTACTACAGTGGCGCTGCGAACAGGATTACGATTTCTGCTTTTGAACGGGCAGCCATTTTGATTGTTTTGACCGTTGGCGATCTATAGTGTAAATGTTGTCGTACGATTGGAAGACATTTTCCATTTATTGTAATTATTGATGCTATATGTAACTATATGTATGTCTTAAACAATTTTCATTCATGTGCCACACGAATTGACCTGTTTGGCAGATTCTGAGAAATTTTGACAGTCAACGAACCCTTTGACCTCGTGACCCTTACCCTCATCCGTGATACTTTGCATACGACCAATTTTGGTTTACCGTGATATCTATTCTTCATGAATTAATCAATATAATTGAAATCTGTAATGACGAAACAACATAGGAATCGTTCAATATTGTCAACATTGGGATTACACACTCGCTGTGTTTTGATTTAATTTCTTTCAAAATATAAGATTGCTCAACAATCTCAAGTTTGGATCACACACCAGCTGTGTTTTGCGATAGATTTTGGAAAACACAGAGTTTCACCTTGTTCATAAAGTGAATTAGGACATCAAACTGTATCAAACCATAGTAGAAGAAAAAATTAACACAAACTCTTGTGAAATTCAAGATTTGATCACAGTGCCTGGCATCGGCAAAATTAATAATGGCACACATGGAGAATAATAGGGAAATCACCAGGGAGGGATTTTTAAACTTAAAAATTCATAAAGTCAGCACCTTGGTTGACTATTTTTAATTTCTCTGTACCTGAAAAGAAATAGAGGTAATACAAGCCCAGAAATAGGAAGCCCCGCAATGTGTAACCAGCCTCTGGCGTTCTCCAACCAGCCATGTCAAGTTCAGTCAATATGGGGCAAGGTTCTGCTTGTATTTCATCAGTGTATGGGGGCTTAGGGGGTTTAATGACCCCATTACATCAACCACCACCAGTCGGCGGTGTTGCGAGCACTCTTGCAACAGCCAATCGTATAACACCACCTGTCGGTGGTGTTGCGACCACTCTTGCAACACCCACTCATATACCACCACCACTGGTTGCGAGCACTCTGGCAACAGCCAATCGTATGCCACCACCTCTAGTTGCGAGCACTCATCCCCACATCCTGGCACAGTACTCACCTTACCAGTACTCACCATACTCACCGCCAGTGTTTACTCAAGTCGCAGCTCTCCGATATGAGGAAGAGTTGCGTCAAAGAAGTACATTCAACCAAACACTATTGGCAGAACGCCAAGAGTGGACACAACAGGTACCGGTAAGCAGCCCAGTCCAAACCCCAGACCAGAATATCCATGGTGGGGTTTGACCCAAAGTGCCTGCACAGGCAACAGCATCTCGGATACAATGTGACCGAACTAGACAGCAACAAAATTTGATTTCTGTCATTGATAAATATCAGGCAACACATGAAGTCCAAACAATTCCCCAGCCAAGAAGGATGAAAATCAATCAGGAAGGAATATACATCCTGGGCAATTTCTGAGTGACCAAGAGTATGGGGCAGGGAATGTCAGACAACACACACAGATTGTTACAGAGAAAGAGCATGGTCGTCCAAGTCCCAGAGAACCGGAGATCTGCATAGAGCCAGTGCTTGATGATGAGGAATACAGGTTTCCTAACCGAGGAAGGGCCAGACAGCATCAACCTAGGCAGGGCTATGCAAGACAGGACCGACACAGCCCGGCAATCAAGGTACCCAGGGCAATGGTCGTTGATGGAAAGAGTCGTTGGTCGGCTTTTTACTTGAAGTTTAGGACTTATGCCAAACCGGAGAACGGGGATTCTGAGGAGCTACCGGACCAGTTATACTTCTGCATGAAGGACGAAGCGAGCGAATACTTTGCTTCATGTATTGAGCGAGATTTGATATCTCATTTGAGGATCTCATTAAGAAATTTCAACGGTGGTATGATCACCAAGAACTTCCAGAAACGGTGCAGGTAAAATTCAACACAATGCGCCAACAACAGGATGAGTCTCTGGAGAAATGTTCAGAACGACTCTTGTCAACAACAGTTGCATTTGGCAGAATGCCAGAAGACTATGTTGAGCGACAAGTCATCATGAGTTTCTGTCTTGGATGTGAGCAGATGGAGGCAGGTCAATACGCAGCCAATCTACATCCTTTTTCCTAAGAGCAATGGATGCTGTGCGCGCATTCCAGCACACCCACCAGACCATCTATGGTAAACAGCGAAATATAAGATATCTGGCATCTGATCAACAAGAGGGTGAAGAGTTTCAGGTCAGGGCTGTCCCAAGGTCACCAGGAAGAAACTCCAGAACCCCAACCCTGGAAAAGAAAATAGACCAGCTGGAGGCAAGATACGGCAAGATTGAAACCATACTGTTCAAAGTAATGGGAAGATTTAGTAACAGACGTTCCCGTTCCTCTAGTCTCGCAACATCACCTGGTCGCAGCAATGAATGTTACCAGTGTGGCCAAGTGGGACACTTTACGATAAATTGTCCTCAGAGAAGCCTGATTAAAGATAAAGGGGTAACACTTCAAGAGGAACGGAACGGGGAGAAGGAGTTAAACTACAACGGGGTGGGTCGAAAGGCCTAAGTCCTACCCCTCACTGGAGTGAAGGCCAGCTGGAAACTGCAATCAGGGCGCCACAGCTAGGTCTCTCAAATTCCTTTAAAGGTGCCCATGAGGAAGTCACTGCTCATTGCAATGGTCCTAGCAGACCACAAACTTCTGTGAGTCTGTGACATCTTCAAATGTCCATGTCCTGAAGTTACAATCAATGCAGTGTTCATGAAACAGTTTTTACCATCCCGCTATTGGTCCAGGACACAAAGGCAAAGGCCATAATTGATACCGCAGCAGAGGTGACAATTATCTCTGACAAATTATTCAAAAAGCTCCAACATAAACCAGCGGAGGGCCATGATGTCACCTTATGCGCTGCTGGACGAGAATTGAAGATGCAGGGTTTTCTCACCAAACCAGTCACATTGCAGGTCCAAGACAAGCAATTCCAAATGCCTGTATATGTGGCTCCAATAGATGAGATAATCCTGGGCTTTGACTTCTTAATGAAACATAGTGCAGAAATTGACACGAAAAACCATATCCTAACTATAAATGGAACAACAGTGGACATGGTTTTAAGGTTTTGGTTGGTTTGTTTGTTGTTTAACGCCGCTATCAGCAATATTCCAGCTATATGACGGCGGTCTGTAAATAATCGAGTCTGGACTAGAAATTCAGGTAAACCAGTTAATGTATGTCACAGGAAAGAAACCCTTTATCTGGGAGGAAAAACAAGAGCAGTCCCTTCAAAAAGTTAAAAGCTGCCCTTACGTCAACACCGGTGTTAGCATTGCCCAACAAGAAAGACCACTTCATCTTGGATACAGATGCTTCAGACTGGGCCATTGGAGCGGAACTGATACAAGTGCAAGATGGTCAAGAGAGAGTACGCTAAATGTAATTTATTACATGCGGAAAGCACACGTTAAATCCCCGAACGAACGAACGAACGAACGAACGAACGAACGAACGAACGAACGAGAGAGTAATTAGTTACGGCAGTTTTAGTCTCACACCGGAACAGAGAAGGTACTGCACCACGCGCAAGGAGCTGCTTGCCATGATACCGTTTACCCGACAGTACTGCCATTATTTGTTGGGTAGGCCGTTCACAGTAAGGACAGACCCAGCAGTCTCACCTGGCTACTAGGGTTCAGATCACCGGAAAGACAGTTCGTCCATTGGGTTGAGGAATTAAGCCAAGCACCTCAATGCAGATGGACAATTGCCCTTATTATCAGGGAGCAGTTGAGCCCCTGTCACTCCCATGCAATGGCTGCAAATATGGCAAGAGAGCACACAAAAATTGGGGAGCCTTCCAGGAAGATGTTGATTATTCCATACCCTTGTCAAGGAGAAGCATCACTCATGCCAAGGTGAGACAACTCTTGTTGGATTCCACTACCAGACAAGCAACATTTTCAACAGGGGGGAATGTTCCAGGTACATCAAGTATGTATTTTACCCAAGATCTACAGACTTGTTTGGAGAGCTGTCCAAAGCCAGAGGTTAGTGTTCAGCGCCTCGTAATGGTGACTGACACACAAACAGGAAATCTTGATTTATTTCAGGAGCCGAGGGACGTACAAGTTCAGAAAGTCACCATTATTGCAGAGAGGGATTCCACTCCAATGTTTGGATATTCTCTGGACGAGTTACAGCAGAAAGGACAAACAACTAACCTTTCTGCATCAATGTTTGGATGATAAAACATTACCATCTGAACAAGAAATATTTCTAGCAAGCCAAGCAACCAAGTCCTACTGGATAGACAAAGAATTATTCTCACGATATCACGTCGTCTGGTGGTCTGAGAGAGTAATCAGGACTCCAACAACAAGCTGCTTCTTGTTCCACAAACCCTCCAGCAAGAAGTGTTGAAGCATGTCTATGATATTCCCGCAGCAGGCCATATGGGAATCTCAAAGACAAGAGAGAGACTAAGGTCCCGGTATTAGTGGTACTGATGCTCTCAAGAGGCACAGGAATATGACCAAACATGTGAGAAATGTAGTAAGAACAAGAAACCCTCTAAACACTATAGGGGGAAAATGACCAATTTCCATGCAGGCGCGCCAATGGAAAGAGTGGACATGGATTTTATTGGTCCATTGCCCTTAAGCAAAAAAGGGAATCAGTACATATTGATGATGGTAGACAAATTCACGAAGTGGGTTGAGTGCATCCCTCTACCAAATCAAAAGACAGAGTTGACGGCACAAGCCGCTGTCAATGAGTTTCTTTCTCGATTTAGCTATCCGTTCCAATTACATACGGACCAAGGTCGTAATTTTGAGCGTGAACTCTTTAAGTTAATATGTTCCTTGCTACACATTCACAAAACCCGTACAACACCCTACCGTCCGTCTTCTAATGGACAGGTAGAACGGTATAACAGGACCTTACTCCAGATAATACACTGTCATGTAGGGAAGTCACAAGCAGGATGGGATGAATACCTAGCAGGGGCAATACGGTCATATGTAAACCGACAGACAGGATATTCTGCCAACAAGTTGATGCTAGGAAGAGAGGTGAATGTACCAGCTGATCTGATGTTTAGATTCCCAAATTAAACATTTATCCAACTCCCTGCAAAAGTATGTGAATTCCTTACAGAACGCAATCCAGGAGGCACATGAGATGGCTAGGTCTAATCTCCGAACAGCCTTACAAAGAATGAAGAGGGATTATGACTTGAAAACCAATTAAAGGAGATTTGGTGTATGTCATGGACACCGCTGTGAAGGTAGGGAAGTGCAAAAAGTTGCATCCTATATGGAAGGGTCCCTTTCTAACTGTCAAGAAACGAACACCCCCCGTTTACCTTCCGATACAGGAACCGAGAGTCTGTCCACCAGACGGGATAGGAAAATTACAGCATGGGCGTTGTGGGCAAAAGCCAAGTTTGAGTCCAAAAAGGGGATGACAAAGGATTCACAAGTGGAATACCAGTCGGATGTCGGCCAAAAAGAGACTGACATCTTATACTGTAAGTGCCAGAAACCCTACCACAGTACACCAATGATCGCTTGTGATGGTTGTGCTGAATGGTATCATGGCGAGTGTGTGGAGGTCATGGAGGAAGAGTCTAAAACAATGGACTCTTACTTCTGTGACTACTGTCTCGATAACTGAAACTGTATGCATGGTCTCCCCATGCACATACTTAAATGATGGAAGGGTTAATATATAGTTTTCCACTCTTGCAGGCACCTTTAGACAAAAAACAAAACAAAACCACAACCAAGCAACAACATCATCCGGAGACGCGATTGCTTGGGACACCGTGCCCGCTCACGTTCGCCCTCAAGGCATCCTCAACATGAGTGTCCTGGTCAAGGGTCATTCAGAGGCCTCGTTCCCTGGGAAGATGCACCCCTACAAGAGAACAATCTCAAGGACCTCATCATTAACACAGTCCAAGAAAGGGAAGGTCCCCCCAACGAATCCAGGCTATCACTTACAGAAGAGGGCGGTCCCCAGGACGTGGTGACCTACACCTGTACCACCATGGACAGAAGCCAGAGGGGACCATCATGGAAGATAAGCCTGTACAGCGAAGAATATCTGTCACTTCCTCGGACAGGTTGGGGTTGGGGACCTCATTAGCCCCGACTAACCCTGGAAAGCCCATCAGGAACCGCAAGCCAGTGTTGACACAAGACCATGTCCAAACCACCTCGGTATCCCAGTCAGCACAGGGCTCACCTTGCTTCGTGGTGGGGTGCTCCAAACGGACAAGGCATCTCAGGCAACACCTGATGAGTCTTGCCCCAGTGCTTTGATGAGGGACAAACAGAGGTGAAGCGTCTGGTTCAGGCCCAGACAGCACTGATCTGGCTGGCCAAACAGATCTTCGGTCCCGGATCTACTCCTGAGGACCTGGTAGATCATTTAAATGGCTCTGACCTATTGGAGGAATATCCCATTTCCCCAAGTGGTCTTACCCGGATGAGAGAGTTCTCTCACAAGCTGGCCCTTGGGGTTCCCAACAACTTCACTATGTACCCGGTGAACTCTGTGGCTGTTCTCCTTCATTGGAGGGTCCTTGGGAACCTCCTCAACTTGCTTACAGAGGAGCAGAGGGCCAGGTTTAGGGCTCTGTTTAGTCTGGGTTTGGCACCATGGCCACAGTCACTGGCAAGTGTGACCAGCCCAAAGGTCACCATCTACAGGACCCACGACACATCCTACCATTGACAATTACCACCAGTTAGTAAAACCTTTGTCTACCAAGATGCTTGTTGAGATGGCCAGGCAGTGTTTGAAATAAGTGCATGTCTGTAGGCCCGTGGCAAGTAGGGCCAGTTTCAAATTTGTGTAGGTCCTTATGGCCTTCAGTAAATTTATGCTTCGATTTATCTGTCGCAATAACCTACAGTTGTTTAAATGAGGGCCTGAAGAGTTGAGTCAGGCCCTGCAGCTTCTGAAGTCTATGGGTCCTAATGGCACCCTGGTGGGACTCTTCTCGTGCACCAGTCCAACAAGACAGATCAGCTAACTACACCAAGAGAGAGCAGACCTTTACACAGAATGGCAGTGGTAGAAGTGGCGTCAGAAGTATGTCAAATACCATGAAAACCTAAAAAGGTTTATGGTGTGATAAAAGCTTAAACAGGAATTTATGGCTTAGGATGTAATAGAGTTAGCATTCTTATACATAATGATAACTATCACTTGATCATGTTAATTTCTATTTCCAAACATATATATCAAGCATACATAAATATTATCAAAAAATGGAGTTCCGATTGAAATAACATGTTTCTGGAACTAACATTTATAAAAAATGTAATACACAACAAAACCCAGCATTATTAGTGTAAAAGAATTATGTTAATAATAAATATTGTGGTGTAAAACGCCCACTTGATCTCAATGGGAGTGTGTGAGTGAGGTTTTACGCTGGTTTAAGCAAAATTCCAGCAATATCACAGCGGAGAACACTAGAAATGGGCTTCACACATTGTACCCATGTCAGGAATTGAACCCGGGTCTTCAGCGTCACAAGCGAACGGCTACCCGAACACCCCTTGATCTCGATGGGCTACACATGCTACTGTCGTACTATGGACTGATTCATTATTCCATACTATATATCAGCTGGAATACTACAGCATAAAACAGCATTCGTTCACTCCTATCCATGATATTTACTCCCAGACGATGGACAACTGGAGGTTGTGCTTTTTCACATATTTCCTGAAACCATCAACATCTTGTTGGGAGGTATCTTGGCAGTTCCTCAGACACAGAGCACGTAATGGGTTCTCACAACAGATCAGTCTTGATATTGCATCCCCACTGAGTCTATTGCAGGACTCCAGAGTCAAGGAAGACAGAGATTGCATACCATGCTTCTCTAGGATACAGAGGAGCAGATCAGTGCACATGCACTGAACATTGATCAGGTGAAGCTCAGAGAGACTGGTTGCGTTTTCTAAAATTTGTTCAAACATGGATGCACTAAAGTTGGTGCTATCATTTCCAATCACAACCATGAGATTGTCCAGATCTCTATAGATAGATTTCAGATCCTTTCCTGATAATGGAGTGTCAATAAATGCCACAGAGTTAAACACTGCCATGACACATTTAAGTCGTCTTAAGTTCGGACAAAGAACGCCAAGTTGGCCAATGTCAAGATCTTTGATGTCATACAGACCAAGGGATCGAATGTTGGGTCCTATTGATGTGAAGAGAGGTTTCAGACCATCAAAGAATGTCACATCTCCCCATTGGTCACTTGTTATTTCCAAGGTATTTAAATGCTTTAATTCTTTCAGATACTGTAAAGTTGAATCATTTGCATTTTGGTAAAAATTAATTTCTGTGACGAAGGGGCAGCGTAAGACAGCAAGCTGTACAGATTCCGGACTGACCTCCCTGCATTTGAGTGCACTGGCATTGAGTGTCCGGAGCTTGAGAGTGTCTTCATTGTCTCCTGAGTTGCATGTCTGAGCCACAGCATCAATAACATCTGCATACAGGAGAACATGGAGATTTGGACACATATTTAGGATCATGATGGCTCCCTTACTGCTGATCTTCGTGGCACTGATATTCAGGTACTTCAGACTTGCACCACTAGCAATGCAGTTACTCTTCTGCTTCATATTTGATGCACCATTACCGTTCTGAAGTTCCTGGAAAATGTTGGCGATTCCTCGATCAGTGACCGGACAGGCAAATAGGTTCAGGTGCTGTAGTTTCTTGCACGAAGACAGAATCGTGGTTAGAACCTGGTCATTTGTCTTCGTCTGGCGTAGATTCAGCCAGCTAAGCAAAGGAAGACTTTGGAAAATACTGCACAGAACAGTTTGGGTGGCTACGCTGCAGTTGGAGAGGTCTAGCTTTGTCAGCTTCTGCAAAATATGAATAAAAAAAGGAATCTGAATCTGGTAAATAATAAACACCAAGGAGGTTATCCCTGGAGTAGGATGTCTGCATATATTACACAATTTTACCACATCAGAAGAAGATCATCATGTGAAGACGAGTGCTTTGATTATCCAAATATCCTAACATAAATCCAGCAAGCCATATTATTTTTACCCCATAAACAATCACATAGGAATAATTAGAAGACAAACCCACTGTGTTTTGAAGTTAGAGGTAGTATAACACATTATAACAAGCTCCAAATTTAATTTAAAACCGAATGTGTTAGCCATTAACAATGATTAAGGTAAGGTTATGATATTTCTTAGTTATTTCTTTAAATGTTCATGTCCAGTTTTTTTTATGTTTATGGATTGCTTTGATATTCTATTTCAAGGTTTAATCATTTTAGACAAAAAAGAAAGAAAGCGGAGTCATATTTTCTGCATACATGAGTTTTTTCACCTATTTTTCAAATTGTAAGTTTTAGCATGAAAACAAACATGGGGGATAGGAGTCCTGTAAAATGCATGTGTGCCAACGCATGAATGCACCATGATAGCATTTCATAGGTTAATATCCAGTTCAAATGATTCCTTAACTAATTTGGAACAAAAACATGACTATCACACAACTTTACAGAATAATGGGTAAGAGACACACATCACATGGATAAAGTTAGCAAAGTACAATATTTCACCTGGCATCTGATGCCGACAAGATGCAGCATACTGGTCATGTTTGAGCACTTGCTGAAGTCCAGTTCTTTGAGACGGCCAGTTAGGAGAAGATGTAAGTGTGACCTTCTTACTCGGTGATCAGCACACAAGGTATCCAGAAGCTCTTGAAGCATTTCAGAAGCTGGAAAACAAAAAGGAGTACAATGAGTAAACAAACATCATCATGTCACATATTCTCTGTTCACTTGTTTAGCTTTAGCTTTTGAGTGACTTGGTTCTCAAAGAGGCCTAGAGATTTGGGCTAGCCAGAGGCTTTTGACAGACAATCTTCTATTTGATACCCTTCTATTCAGACTGGGCTCTAGAATGTCAATTTTATACTACTGAAGCTTTTTGCAAGTCTGCCTGCTGTTTGAGGGGAAAAAACAGCATATTTGACAGATATTTTCTAACATGCAATTAACATTACTCAAAGATCAGTTGGGATACAAGCCATTTGTCATTATAATTGAATTATGGTACACACTTTTGACGGGATATTATACCTTAAAACACAATACAAAAATAAGAAATATCACCTATAGAACACAGGAATTGTGTTTGCATTAAAGACATCATTTGATTCTTATGCAATGAAGACCTTCCAAAATACATTTGTGACTCTTTAGAACAGACAAGGGGCCATGACAGCCCCAAAATTCGTGCAGCAAGGGCAAACCCTACTCCCAGCTCCTCTCAGGCCCCACAGTTCAGACTGCTACTGAAATATTCTGCTTATCTTATGGCCTCTACATTATATTTGAGAACAGGCTTTTGTCTTTTGCTTCAACTGCAGGTTCTGACATTCTCTTTTTCTACCTGCTTTCATTTACTTAATATAGAGCTCTGTATGTGCGATCCACTGCAGCTTTTAACAGACCTAGCTTTTCTCAGACAAGTCTCTATAGCCTTCTACTACTACTGAACTTACGACGGATTCTAGGCATATTGGAGATCAAGTCTTTGACCTTGTTGACTAAGGAGTCATAATATTGAGAAAGAAATTCAATGAATGACAAAATTCGAATTCTGAAAGATATCTTCGGAAATTTGGATCAAGGCCGAATCGAATAGTTACTCAGAATACTAACTATCCTTACAACTTTAATGAATCAACGGGTCTAGCAAACACCAAACCATGATGTAACATATAGATCTACGTTAAAATCAACAAATATCCAAATATCTTAGTGAACACTCACTCATGTAATCAAATGGGCCCAAAACATAGTAAAGGCGCGGCATATCCGCGAAGAGACGGTCAAAGTCTGCACTCCATAGTCGATCCATGTTCTTTGAAATGTTGCGAAGACATACTTGCTTCAGAGTGCGTACAGTGTGGGGAAGGGGCATGGCGAAAGTTGACAGTAAATTTGTGTCACCAAGTCATTTCCCTGTCTAGCAGACGACAAGAATGCTCACATTCAGGGTAAACCCGGAAATCGAAGTTTGACGTCGCACCTGTGCCAAGCTCCTCACAGCCACATCTAGTCGCGCCTGAGAAGGTAACGTCTGCATGGCAAACGCTGACATGGAGCTAGTGGTGTGCAACGAGCGCCCTCTGGCTAAGCTCGAAAAATTGTCTCTATGCTGGGCTCCGTCTTTTCATATCACAGAAGTTAACGACGCGCACTGATATCCAAAAACCAGCTTACGGAATTCCCTTGCATAACCCTTTTCCGTCAAGCCGTGTGGGGTGTCGTACTCAACAAGTATCTGCGGTTGGCTCTAACGCCAGACAATGTCATGCCCATTCTGTGGAGAAGATGCTGTCATTAAAGATAAGATAGGAGCACACGAACAATCCATTTGTTCCGAGTGTGGTTTGGTTGTGTCTGACCAAACTTTCGAGGATAGTTCCGATTGTTACTTCAACGCTCCGTCACTCGGTGCCTTGCCGACAGGGGCAAGCGCAAGTATACTCGCTGCGAAGAGAGACGCCGATAAGAAAACTGAATTTGTCAGTCCGGTTGGTGTCGAGGAAATAACCTGTATATGCAATGCAATGGGTGTCAGCAGTTCCTTGAAGGAGGAAGGAATGTTGATACATGCCGACGCTTGTAAACACCCAGATATGGAGGTTAGAAACAGATCGAAACAGTTCAAGGAATCTTTGGGTGCCTGCTGTATGTATATTGTTTTACGCCGACACGAGTATCCAATCACTGCAAGGGAAATGACGAGCACAAGAAAACTCCCCATCAATAATTTTATATTGATGTTGAGGCGTATGAAACAGATAATGAAGATTGAGATGCCAAGATGGAGCATAGGTCAACTCACAGCCCACACGCTGCAGAAAGCAAATTTTGATAGAGGGGTTATTGAAAGGACCCAAAAACTCATGCAGATATGTGATAAATGTTGGCTCATTAGTGGGCGAAGTCCTGAAGCTATTATTGTCATAGCATCCTACTTTGCCTGGTTGTCTTTTCAGAAATCTGATGTCAGTTTGTCGTCATTTTGCAAGACAAATCACCTCCGTCTTCCAAAAAGTAATGGCACTCTGAAAAGAATGAAGGATATTTTGCTTGCAATGGCAGAACGTATCCCATGGATTCAGAGCATGAAGCCGTCACGGCTGCGCTACTACATTGAAGATATAGTTAAATACAAAGCTAGTCTAATGAGAAAAGCCTTTGCTGATTCTCCATTGTCTGTGGAAGAAAATGGGGAGTCGGCTGACATGGCGCATGGTGGAACAGAACTGTGTTTGAGGCCACCGTTAAGTAGAAAGAGGAAGCTTGAGGACAGCAGCCCAGATGTCAGAAGTAATGATGAAATTGATGCTGAGATATCTGCCAAATATGGACATGTGATCAACTCTTCTGAAATTGATCCTAATGAATTTGCAGATGAAATGGACATGTACATCAAGACAGAGAAAGAAAAGGAAGATGTTAAACTGATTAGCTGTATTGGTGGCAATTTACAGCCAGTGGACAAGTCATGAGTACCAAGTTTCAGTCAGTGTGATAGGCCAAAAAACTGAACTTTTGTATGATCTCCCTAAATCTCAGGAAGCTAGTGCAGAACATTTTGTTACACATATGTTAGTATTAAATGACACATGGACTATTTTGTTAAGTTGAATTCCTGTAACTTGCATATTGCTAGAGTAAAAACATCTGGTTGTACCATGGACACTTATTACTATGTTCAGGGTCCATGGTTGTACATGTAACGGAGAAGGACAGGAAATCCAGCAGGCAGCCTGTGCCACTACATTTAAATCTGCTTGTCCGAAACTGTCCACTAGAATTTCAGTAAATGGATTAGTATTGACCATATTGAAAGACCTGCCTCAACCGAATGAATTTTACTCAATGTGACTTCAGACTACTAGTCGACAGTGGAAGCAGTTTCCAACCACATTCTGCTAGTCAATAAGAATTTCTACTTACCTCTTGTTTAAATAGTTAACAGGAGGGCACAGATGTCGCACTCACAGGGTTTTAGGTTCCCTCATTTTTTAGGACATTGCCATCCAAAATTGTTTTATTCAAATTTGTTCATGATATGGAACAGGATAGAAGAAAGTCCTCTGAAAAATATATATAAAATCATGAAAATGTTCTTACGTCATTTGGTACTCTCAAAATTACTGAATCAGAACACCTAGTCTGTCTGCCTGGTACACTTGATTGTCAACATGATGAGGTACTTTGGTGTTTTTGTTCTGAAGTACCAGTATGGTGTCATACATATATACAATGTTGCAACAGATGCATGACCTTCACACTGGACTTGCCTCCCACTTTAAGATGACCTGGTGATATATATGAAATACTGTTTGTGTTAAGTGATGTTAAACACAACACTCTAGTTACAGATAAATGATATGTTGTAACAATATCAATGTAATCATGGTAATAATAATAAAAGAATGATGGAAATTTATATGAAAAAGTGTCGAAGGTTAAAGGTTACCTGGATCACAAGCTGTTTCTCTGTGATTATCATTAGAGTTCCAACGATGTGCCAATCTGTTTTACAGAGGTGCTAGATTGTTATATGAAATAATTTGTGTGTGTGACCAGCTGTTTATAGTGTATACATGGTAAAACAAGTCTTTTGTACAGTTTTTTACTTAAGATTGCAAGATTTTATAAGTTGACATTTATTGTGTTTTTGTTGGACATGTTGAAGAATAAATGTTTCAGTATAATGTAAATTCTTGCGTTGTGCTTGTTTTGTGGTATTTCAGGTGTTTTGGCATGATCACAGTGCCTTGTGACCATGGTGACCAGGCAAACCACACTAATAGCGTGAGAAATTATCCAAACTATCGAGATATCAGGACGTAATCACCCAAGTGTCCTTATGAGATTTCATTTCACGTTCATTATCTCCAGGGAGTGGATTCGCTGTGCAGAGTTGCATCCCTTGGGCACGCAAAAAAACTTGTGGTTTGAATCCTGAATTGCCCCGAATATTTTTCTAGGTTTGAGATAAATGTTTGAAACCTGCATCAATTCAGGCTTTCCTCACACATGAAGTCGTGATATAACTGGAATACTGTTCAAGGCAGTGTTAAACCCAACTCACTCACTCATAGTATCCTACAAAATGAGCAGGATGAATATAGGTATGGTCTTTGTTGATCAGATATGTTGGAGATTTGATCATTTTGCTTTGCTATGGTATGGTCAAATGTTTTTACACATTAACTTTATAGATTATATACAGCATGCTTGTCAGGTGCACTAATGGTTCAGGAAATCTTGGGTATCGTGTATCTACACTTCAGAAGTTTTTTTTTATCTATTTGAGGCTATATTAATTATATGGCTCACTGACTTCACGATAAGTATTACTTCAAGAAAACCTGGATGCCATCATTTGAAATGGTACCTACTCCTATTACATATTAATTATGAGTCTTCATTTTGTTCTGTTGGAGGGGCGGTCGGGTAGCCTAGTGGTTAAAGCGTTCGCTCATCACGCCCAAGACCCGAGTTCAATTCCCGACATGGGTACGATGTGTGAAGCCCATTTCTGGTGTCCCCCTGCCATGATATTGCTGGAATATTGCTAAAAGCGGCGTAAAACCATACTCACTCACTCAATTGTTCTGTTTGGAAACAAAATTGAAAATCATGTAGTAATAGAGGAAATTCCCAAGATACCATGGAAATGAAATCTTGTGCAAGATATTTCATTGTATGATGGTAAATCTAAGTAGAAGTCAGCTGAGGAACACATTGTGAATGAGCATTTTCTCAACATGGGTTGAGATATAATAAACTAGAATCCCTCACTCTTCACATTTTTAAATAATCATGTCAAGATGCTTGAACAAAATAGAGAGTGAATATTGTTCAAAGTGTCAGTCAATAATATTGAAACGGTATCACTAAGGTGAATAAATAACAGAATCTGGACAGGCACTGGAAACATGAGCAACAATCCACACCATCGGGGTACATTTACTCTGTCAACCAAGACAGTCTGACCATCTGATCCAGTTTAGTCACCTTTTTTTTTCCATACGTTATATTGCTGGAAAATTGCTAAAAGCGGCATTAAACAATACTATATTACCATATTACTATAGTAATCGATCCCTTATCGACAACAGGGTCTGCTGGCCATGAATCCAAAATGTGCCTCGATTATGATCCCAGGATTGTGAAAACTGCCTTCAGCTTCACTTTCCACCTACTGTTTACAGCGGTATTATTCCCAGCCCAAACTATCACTCTGTTATGTTGTTGCATGGAACAAGATCCAGTCACATCAAGGAAGCATGACACCCAGGTAACCTAAATATGTCGCTATACAGAGAAGAAATATACATTTGTGATAGTAAGGTGTCATATGCGAGTCACATTAAGAGTACACCAAACAATGATGCAGTATATTGCGTTAATATATTGAAAAAAAGATGGTAAACAATGAACAAGAATTTAGCTGTCACCAAGAATTTTATCTTTGTTTCTAAGAAATCTTAACTCCTGTACATTTGAACACAATTCCTAAACATTTATACAATCGCAAATAATTATCAACATGAACAATGTGTCCAGTTTAAAACAATAAAAACATGAAGCATGGAATGAAATGGGAATACATCTGTAAGTGGTTTTAATTGTCTATTTAGCAATCCTTATTCAATGCTTTTGATTTAGATACAAGGACATTTAATGAAACATTGTGGTAGCTCCTGGATTAAACGTACGGTCTTGTCCGTGTTTTAATGGCCAAGGGGGGATAACTGATACCTCACTTCCGGGTTTGAAAACGTGCGAGCTGTTTTCTACGTTTCGTGATTACGATCCACCACTGAATACTAAGGAGGGACGGAACAGAAAATAGACAACATGTCTGGTTTATCAGAGCTGGTGGGTATTTGGAATTATTATAAGGAAACTATTCAACACAAAAATGTCAATAAAACTGATAATGCGGTGAATGTGACTAGTAAAGAATAGATTCCGAATGTAATTCGATCTTTATCAAATTCAGATATATGCTGTATACGCTTGTATATCTGGGATCCCACCTAAACTGTAAGGAATTTGGCACGGCTAACGACTAAAGAGATCTGATAGCTGACTGAATGTGTCATCATGCGGTTTACCATAGCCTACCTCTTGCTTGTCGTAATGGCGACTAACGGGATCGGGAGGTCTGCCGCGTCGACTTGCTTGATGCTTGTCATTGTATCCCCATTGTATCCCCATTGTGGAAATCGATGCTCATGGTGTCAATCATTGGATAGTCTGGTCCGGCCTAATTGGATGCCGCCGTTATATTGTTGAGTGTGGTGTTAACCAACAAACATAGCCTACCAGGACGTATGTTGATCATGACCAAGACACCATTATTTGCGATGCTGCTGACTGTTGTGATTATAAAAGGAAACTTGCAAATTATAAAGTAAAATGTCTGACTTCTTGTTTATCCAGGGTGTTGGAGGAATGCAGTCGGCTGCCGCGGCTCTTAACTCAAAGGCTGAGGACTATGTCAACCAGGTAAGAGGACCAATCTTTCCCCAGTTTTGAGACTGGTAAGGATAGGACCAAATTAAAAAGTAGATACTTAGTTAAGCCAACAAATCATTGACATGCTGATTAATTTTTGAGTTTGGGGCAGAGCAAAGAATTTGAGAGAATGATCTGACAGGCTGTATTGAATTAGTGGTGGATCAATTTTAAACATGTCATCAACAGTGCTTCACGATGTTGTGACCATAACCTGCCTTTGTTTGTGAGGTGGAACACATGTCATAAAATAATGAAAGCAGTTCTACCAGAGTGAACCACATTGACAGGATGGAGGCGCCTTCATTCTAAACCTATAAAGATCATGATTGTTTCTATCATGAAAGAATCGTAATATGATTGAATGTCTTTTTTCATGATCGTGTCATTCAAATCGGACTCTTGCAAAGCTAAAGTGGCAATTACATTAGCCGGGTATTTACAATAAAGGTATTTTGTTACAGTCCTATGATGAAGGGCTGTACATGGGTGACACCTGGAACTGGAAGCATGTATATGTTCTGTAACCATGGTAACTGTAATGACTTGTTTCAGCCGGATGTGGAGCTGCAGTGGGCAGTGAAGGCGTATGCTCATGCTGAAACCTACTTTAATGTAAGTGTCACAACTTCTAGTGAGTGGGTGAGTGAGTTGGGTTTAACACCACTTTGAACAGTATTCCAGTTATATCATGGGGTGTACGCTTCATGTTGGAGGAAAGTCCAAACTAATGCGGGTTTCAGAATTTTACAACTTTGGTGAAACCCACAAGCATAGGTATGATGCTGACATAACTAGAAACATAATTTGGGTGAAGCATGATTCGAAACCCACAATCATAGGTTCCTGGTATGCTAAGGGGATACAACTCTGTGATGAATTGTGGCTCACTCACAAGTTTACACACTCTGGGGGGATTCTGGGTTAGAACTGATCCCTCAAGTGGTCAGGCTGAGTGACTTAGTTGATTGTATGTCATCATACCATAGGGGTGTGCATTATTACCATCAGCAATACAACCCTTGCGTATCGACATTTTCCGATACAGTCACAGAATTAATACTATCTTGAGGTGTGTGGATGGACTGGGTTCCTATCTAAACCGTGGAAACAGCACACACATTCCATATTGATAATGTAATAGGTAGTCATTTATCCATACTACTCATTCCGCAGTCTGATTTATTGAATGAAGAAGTACTATTTGAACAGTATAAATATTTGTATTTAGTTAGGCCCCAATACACATTGCTCTTTATCTCACCTTACATCAAAATACTATCTTTTGATTGGTTAATGTTTGTTGTTTAACGCGGCACTCAGCAATATTCCAGCTATATGACGGCGGTCTGTAAAATAATCGAGTCTGGACCAGACAATCCAGTGATTGACATCATGAGCATCGATCCACGCAATTGGGATTGATGACATGTATCAACCAAGTCAGCGAGCCTGACCACCCAATCCTGTTAGTCGCCTTTTACGACAAGCAGATTGGTTAATGAGCGAGCCATTATTTTCTATGTAGCCTGCTCATATACTTGTATACCTTGCTGAGAAATCAATAAGAACACACCTTAGTTAACTTGCTTGCCTATATAGCCCTCACATCACGGCTTGGGATGCATAGGTTCACACACATATACCCCTTAATATTTGTTAACAACTTATAATGTATCTCAATACAGCTCACCGTATTGCAATATATTGCAAAACGATTTTTGTGCCAATACGCCAACCCTACCATACCCTGGCCTGGTGGATCATTGCTCACTATATCAATCACTGGTTTGTCTGGTCTAGACCGATTAATTAAAGACTGCCATCATATAGCTGGAATATTGCTGAGTATGGCGTTAACAACAAAAAGAACATGATTCCAACAAAGAGTGACAATGAAGCCATTATTGAGATGAAATACTGTTCAAGAAATTATTTAGAATATGTTTATTACATTTTCTGATTGTGACTTTGTGACCATCGAATCCATAAACTCATAAATTAACAAAAGTGGCCTAGGAGCTCTGTCCAACGAGAATGAAACTGTGGAATAATCATGAATAATGTGAACGAGTGTTTTCAGAAGTGCTGATTGATATCTAGGTTTCAACACATGCATGAAGTAAGGATACTGTTATGGCTGAAGTGTTTTGAAGTTTTGTTGGTACCCTTATCCAGCCTCATGCGTTGATGTTGAACGATGCTGATGGTGTTTTATGTTTGCAGCTGATCACCTCGGTGGACCCGTCTATCCTGAAGCTCACTCGGGAAGATGACGACATTTACACAAAGTTCAGACAAGAATTCCCTGATTTTAAGGTGGATGTTTTGGCTGAGGACGAACTTAAATCAGTAAAGGCAAAAGAGGTAAGCCAATTATTGATCATGAATTTAATGTTACAAAACAAAGCGAGTCGGATCTAAATGATACTATTGTTGGAAGAACCAAGTCATTAAACTGAAGATAGGCCTTGTACCCTGTGTGAACCTGCCCTGATTATGTGTTTAGGTTTGTCAGCACCGTACCTGTGCACATGGGTTTCACCAAAAGTGGTAAATGTAAAACACCTACATCACATGGGGCTTTCCTCTCACATTAAGCTGACACACCCTCACTCACTCACTCATTCCCCGTGTGACCCCATGGTCCAATATGCTTTCACATAGGCTTACGAAAGTCGTAGTGCTTAGATCATTTTTTGGAATGGGGCCCCCCACACTATTGCCTGTTGGAGGAAGTGACCAAACAGGATTGGGTGGTCTAGGTTGACGACTTAGGTGATTGAGTGTTACCGTAACCCTGACAATATGGGATGTTGCACATTATACCTATTACAAGTTTGTCTGGCACAGACTACAGGCAGACATTATATTGTTTGAATATTGCTAACTGGGTCATATAAGAACAAACAAACAAAACATAGTCCTTGTCATTACACACTGATGTTTTTGGTTACCGTATTCGACGTAATAAGCGCCCCGCTCTAATAAGCGCCCATGGCGATATTTGCTAATATATTGGCAAGTGAACAATCCTAATTAGCACCCCTTCCGATTGATCAATGTACACAAGACTCATATATTCGTGTATAATAGGCACGCGTGTGTTATATGCACCCTTAATTATGGGCAATTAAATTCTGGAAAAATATATCTGTCGTATATAAACAGTTCAGACCATCAGCATAAACCACGAAATTCATTTTTCAACTCTGTTTTTTCCACCAAAATAATATTCTAATAAGAGTCCCCTATTTCTGAGCGCCTGGGCGCTTATTACGTTGAATACAGTATTGCAATATACATTGTCCAGTACACAAACTCTGTTGTACAGTCTATTGGTTATTGTGCACCTATTGGGATTCCAGGTTCAGAATCTGTCCACGACAGCCGATGCTTGTCTTAAGAGGCGACTAAATTGATCATGTGATCAGAATCAGTGACTCAATCACTGGATTGTCTGGTCCATTTGTTACAATTATTTACAGTCCGTCATATAGCTGGAACATTGCGGAGTGCGGCATTAAACAACTGCCAGGCAATTGTCTGAAAGAAATGGATTTAGGTAGCCGAATAGTTAGGTGTTTGCTCATCCTGAGTAAGACATGCATGTCAAGTCCAGGTTTAATTCTCGTTATAGGTTAGATGTATGAGATCTATTTGATATTGATGGAATATTGTTGAAAGCAGCCTAAGACCTCACTCACACTGAAACACTAACAAGATCCCTATCAATATCTCCAGAAATGGCGTCCATTCTGTGAGTCCTTCAAAGGCCAGACCGAGGACTACAACTACGGCACCCTGGTACGCCTTGACAGTGCCAAGGATTACTCCGAGGAAAACTCAATCTTAGGTGGGTAACCATGGTTACTAGTTGTCTCTTTCACAATATACATGACACACACCGACAAAGAACTAGTGACAGTACATTATTTAGAGTGGGGCACATATGGCTGAGTTGTGCAAGGTTGCCTCCCTTAGGCTTGCCATGATCCTGTGTCTGGGGTTTGAACCCAATTCACCCTGGTAAAAAATGTCAAAAAAGTGTGGCCTAAGGCTTCTTCCTGAGTCAAGGGTGTTAACTGACTATAAAAGTCCAGTTTCCATCCCTGTCGAAACTAGACTGGAATTCCGAAGTTATATTTTCGCTGGACGAATGGGGGCGGTCGGGTAGCCTAGTGGTTAAAGCGTTCGCTCGTCACGCCGAAGACCCGGGTTCGATTCCCGACAAGGGTACAATGTGTGAAGCCCATTTCTGGTGTCCCCCGCCGTGATATTGCTGGAATATTGCTAAAAGCGGCGTAAAACCATGCTCGCTCGCTCGCTGGACGAATGTGTCTATGCATAGTCCAATCAAAATCAAAGTAACAAAGTAGACACCCGGTTCGTAGACAACATTGATCTCAACGTGCAGATTTCGGTCGACTGCAGGATTTGCAATGCATGTGTACCGTTAACTGGGCATCGACAGATATTTTGAAAATCTTTTCATGTTTTTAATCAAGGTACTTAATTCATTTGATGCACCTCACAGGGTGACCTATTTTATCATGATATAGATCTTGATTATGGATTGGATTGTCTTGACTGGGAGCCACCATTTTGTTTGAAGCAAATGCGTGTAGTGTGACAAGTGGAATCTTATTGGTCAATAGGAGGGACATAAAAGGGACATAACTCATAATAGCCACTGGTGACACTACGATGGAACCTGGAAATTCCAGACTAGTTCGGCAAGGGTGGAAACTGGACTTTTAGTCAGTTAACTCCCTTGCCTTGGGAAGATGGGCCTAAGGTGACATTCCGTGACAACACTGAAATCCTGTGATAGCGGAGTCAACCCAAACATTTTTGGGATATAAAGGTACTGCCACTGAAGACATTTCAGCAATAACGTTGATGATGTAGTATCACAAGTTCTCTCTCCATCTGAAGCACCGCCCCAAACTCATGAGACATACACATTGTACACTGGTGAACGATGTTTCATGGAGTTTGCTGATTTTATCAATAAGAGATCACCATTTCATCAGCACAGACATAGCAGACAAAACACTTTCAACAAAATTCATACTTGGCTTGGACCGCCTCCGTGGTCTAGTGGTAGAGCGTCCGCCTGGAGAGCGGAAGGTCCGGGGTTCGATCCCCGGCCGCGTCATACCAAAAGACGTTAAAAGATGGTACTTGTTGTTACCCTGTCTGGCGCTCGGCATTAAAGGGCTAAAACAAGGACTGGTCAGCTCGGAGTCAGTATACTGTGTCTGAGTTGGGTATTTATGTTAAACTGCGGCATGGTATCTCAGTGGGCTAGCACTATAAATCGGCATCAGCCCGGACTAGTACAAGCAGCCACACACACACATGTGCATGCACGTCGCTATATAAGTGCAATAATCTCTGACGCGACATTAAACCCAATTTCACCTCACCTCATACTTGGCTTGGAAAGGTTTTTATTGTGGAATTATGAGAAGGTCTGCTATGAAGAGATTCTATGGCAGTACTTCCCATGGGCTACGGAAAGTCTCTTCCGTTTATCACATTGAACCTGTGAAGATACGAGTAGAGAATAAGTCTACAGCAACCCATGCTTGTCGTAAGAGGCAACTAACGGGATCGGGTGGTCAGGCTCGCTGGCTTGGTTAATGCATGTCATCATATCCCAATTGCGTAGATCGATACTCATGATGTCAGTCACTGGATTGTCAGGTCCAGACTCGGTTATTTACAGACTACCATCATATAGCTGGTATATTGCTGAGTGCAGCGTTAAACAACAAACAAAAAGTTTGTCCCATTGAAACGAGAGAAAGACAATGATTTTGACGGATTTGATGAGATTGGTGAATTTGGCATTTGTGATTGCAGCATTTGTGATTGCTATTTCAAGCTTTTTAAAGAAACATGTAAACAAAATTATTAATATAATTAGTTTCTAGTTGAGTGTGTCAAGTGATATTATGCTACATTGCAAGGTGTCTGGGAGATTGTATGTTAAGAATTTCCATGGCCAGTGATTAATTAAACACTCTGCCTTGTTTGTACCATTGTTTGGATAAGATAGTATACACTATGAGGACAGGACATTTTCTCTAGCTGGTCAGTAAGTCATGATCATATTATTGTATGTTCATTTACATTTGTTCTTGTGTATAAATACAATCTGTGGGTTCATCCGTAGCCATGGTAATTAAACATTATGTAATTGTCAAACAGGGTAGAAAACTCTCATGAATTGTCAGTTTTAGTATGAGATTTTTTAATAGGCTTGCAATGAATATCTTTCATAATGACACTTATGGACGCTCTTTTCATTTCCTTTAAAATATTGGTGTTATGATGCCATAAAAATAGTTAAACATGTTGAGTGAATTATTGTGTGAACCAAATTCCATACAGTTTACGTTCCTGAAAATGCTGCAGAAAGACACTCGGCGTTTAATTGTGTCTTTGTTAATAAGCAGCGTTTTTGTTTTTTCCTCAAATAATATTATTGCCTTTTTTTGTTTCCAGGGTTACGGATACAGTTCCTTGCTATTGAAATCTCTCGTAATCGTGAGGGACACAATGCACAGTTGCGTTTCACATACAGCAAGAAGAAAGCAGAGCAGAAGGCGGAGTCATAGCAGTGGCCATGTTGGATTAAGACATCTTCAAAACATTTCTTATCATATCTGTTTTTGGCCATCAAACTGTGAATCACACCAGCCATACAGTGGTCAAACTGTTAGCCACGTGCAGATGATTAATTCTCTTATCATCAGACTCTTTCCAACACTGAAAAGATGTATATACAGTGTTCTAACCAGTCACACAACGCAGGCCGTAATTCAGTGTTGGAAGAAGCTTCCTGTTTGACATCTCCTGGCCAGGAATGTCATGTTTTCTGCTGTCTGACTTATTTAATGTTTCAAACTCCAAGCTCTGCTTAGACATCAAGGCATTCAAACATAATGACGTACAATGTATCATGTATTTTTTCTGTTTTAGAAGAGAGACCAATATGATTGAGACATCATTGTTGGTTAGCACCCACGCCCCCCCCAAATATTTTAACAACAATATGGGTTTCCTTTTTCTGGCAGGTCAATCCAATAATAGGGAAGGTTGTTTTTGTTTTGTTTTATTTTTTTATTTTTTGTTAATTTTTACAAACAATAATTTGTAGATTGTCATTGAAAGCCTGCCTTCTTGACTAACATAACAGTCTATGAAATCTTTTGTTACATAATACATTTCTCTCCACTTCAATTAAAACAAATAATTTTCCTGATGCTGATTTCATAGGGCTGGCTAGAGCCGGCTAGACTTGCTTTTGTATATATACCTAGTTTGGTTTTATTTTCATAAAATAGATATATACCAGTCATGGTGCAGGACTACCTGCCTTCAAAGGACAGCCGATACTGACTAGTGCAACACATTCATGTTAGTGGCATAAAATACAAGATAGTGAGAACTTGAGAAATACAAGAAAGAAGGTTGTGTGTCAGGCTCCAGATTACAGTCAGTCAGGAACCCGGACACACATTTGGGGGGCTTAGTGAGGTGAGGTGAGGTGAAATTGGGTTTAACGTCGCATCCAAGATTATTGCACTTATATAGTGACGTGCATGCACGTGTGTGGGTATGGCTGCTTGAACTAGTCCGGACTGATGCCGATTTATAGTGCTAGCTCACTGAGATACCATGCGGCAGTTTAACATGAATACCCCACTCAGACACAGTATACTGACTCCAAGCCGACCAGTCCTTGTTTTAGCCCCTTAATGCCGAGTGCCAGACAGGGTAACAACAAGTACCATCTTTTAACGTCTTTTGGTATGACGCGGCCGGGGATCGAACCCCGGACCTTCCGCTCTCCGGGCGGACGCTCTACCACTAGACCACGGAGGCGGTTGGGGCTTAGTGAACTAGTATTGGATTGGGTGGTCAAGCTCTGTGACTGATTGTGAGTGACCGTTATCATGATCTCATTCACAATAAGAAATTCCATGATCTTTTTCCATGAAACTGTATTTCAACTGTCCCCAAGGTTTGTAGCTGGTCATGCTTGAACAAGATGAAAACATTTACGCTTTACATTTTATTGTCGGTTTTATTCAGTTACAATTCGTAGCAAAATTGAAGTATTGAGAACTGGTTCAAAATTACAGCTCCCAAAGGCTTCTTTTCTGTGAGGAGTACTATCACTTGATGTTTACAGTTTCGTCGTCTCGGGCAGGCAGACTTGGATGAATTTCATGGTCTGTCACGATGTGCAGAGTTTGACATAGCTCCCTAAGAGTGCCCTCTTGTGTCAACCTCACCTTTATTCAAACTGGAACTATTTCTGAAGTCGACAGATGCAAAGCAGCGCCCTAATGTGACACTTTCTCCGTCGACCTCTGTTCTGCAGATCAAGGCCGGAACCATCAGGCTATGAAGACTTGAATGATCCTGTAATTGTGATGGTGTGAGACATGCTTGCATTCCCATAATAAATATTAAATGTGAAGCATCAGTACTAATTAACAGATTTGTTTTTGTCTACTGAAAATAATGAGTGGTTTACGACCTGAATACTATATTGTTATGTGGGGTGGGAGGAAATAATGTGTAGCCTTGAAATAATTTGTTTTGTTTGTTTGTTGTTTAACGCCGCACTCAGCAATATTCCAGCTATATGATGGCGGTCTGTAAGTAATTGAGTCTGGACCAGACAATCCAGTGATTGACAACATAAGCATCGATCCACGTAATTGGGATCGATGACATGCATCAACCAAGTCAGCGAGCCTGACCACACGATCCCATTAGTCACCTCTTAAGACGAGCATAGTCGCCTTTCACGGCAAGCATGGGTTGTTGAAGACCTATTCTACCCCGGATCTTCACGGGGAGACAAGCATGGGTTGTTGAAGACCTATTCTACGCCGGATCTTCACGGGGAGACAAGCATGGGTTGTTGAAGACCTATTCTATGCCAGATCTTCACGGGGAGACAAGCATGGGTTGTTGAAGACCTATTCTATGCCAGATCTTCAAAGACAGCCTTGAAATAAATCAGGTGTCAGCGCTTATTGATGGATAACATGCTGTAAGTAGCATATAGCCTAGTGTCAGCCAAGTGCTCTTGTGTACTGTGCACGGGTCACAAATCGGGTGAAGTGAAGCAACGTTGGTCGCGGAGAGTAGTTGGATGGGTGACCGTGTTGGGCAGATTGACTCCTGAGAGTTTGTAGGGCCTTGGTCCTGGCCCACACTTAAGCAAATATAGCACAAGTGGTGCCTCTTTAGGCAAGTGACTCTGGACCAAACAATCCAGTGATTGATATCATGAGCATCGATCCACGCAATTGAGATTGTCGCCTCTTATCGATAAGCATAGTTGCCTTTTACGGCACGCATGGGTAGCTGAAGACCTATTCTACCCCAGATCTTGATGGTGCTTTTGGCGTTGGCTAGGATATGCACATTATTAGTAAGTGCATCCTTACCATGGGCGGATACAGCTTTTTTTAAAAGGGGGGGGGGGGTGCACAATTAAGATGTATTTATTGTCTTTGGTGGTAATTTATACAGAAATAAAGATTTTTTTCGAAATAAAAAGGGGGGGTGTGCGCACCCTCTGTATCCGCCCATGCTTACTCAGTTTTTTCTTTCCACAACTAAATCCCAGATTAATACCAAATGTGGTCTGCCAGCACACTTCTGTATTCAATCATTAGTTTGTTTGTTACTTAACACTGCACTCAGTTATATCCGATCTATATAACAGTGATTCAGCTCATTTGTAGAATCAAACCCAGCACATTGGCGTGACAAGGAAGAGCCTTATCCAGAAGGCTACCCTATGTGGCTGCTACAACCAGAAGTATTTGCTGTGTTATGTAGCTAACTCATGTCAGATGTTGACAACATCGCGTTTGTAGGTCATAGCCTCCAGCTGTACGGGGATTACGGGTCAGAATATGTGCCCTACAAGAGGTTCTTACTCAAAAGAAGTTGTTTAATGCCACAATCTGCAATATACCATCTTTATGTAGCAGGGTGTGGAGTCATCCTACACGCGACATCCTTGGCTTGTCAGCCTGCTGACAGGGTTAACGTCTTTGTTCATGTGGACAAGGTGTCAAATCAGAAGGTGTGTTGTTCATATCCCATCACAGGACTTAGAAATGTTATGGCCGCTATGTTTCTCACATTGGACAAGGTGTCCGACCTCATATCAGAAGGTGTGTTGTTCAAATCCCATCACAGGACTTGGAAATGTTATAGCCACTATGTTTATCTAATGGATAAGGCGTCCGACCTCAAATCAGTTGTGTGATTCAAATCCCATCACAGGACTTGGAAATGTTATAGCCGCTATGTTTATCTGATGGACAAGGCGTCCGACCTCAAATCAGTTGTGTGATTCAAATCCCATCACAGGACTTGGAAATGTTATAGCCGCTATGTTTATCTGATGGACAAGGCATCCGACCTCAAATCAGTTGTGTGATTCAAATCCCATCACAGGACTTGGAAATGTTATAGCCGCTATGTTGGTCACATTGGACAAGGTATCCGACCTCAAATCAGAAAGTGTGTTGTTCAAATCCCATCACAGGACTTGGAAATGTTATGGCCGTTACATTTATCACAATGGCCTGCAAATAATCAGGTCTGGGCATAGTGATGATATTCAATCAGAAAGTCAGAGAGACCCTTTCTCATTGGCTCTTTCAACAAGTAGAGGTACTGGGGACCTACTCTGACAGGTCTATCTGTGTAGGAGAATACATATCAGCCATGCAACTTCAAGATTTTCATCAGCTGAACAGAGAAATTTCCCAAGGCCATGACAACAACTCAAAGAATTGTACAAAACAAGTTAGTTTATTTAGTAATTGACAATAAATAACAGTACACGGACGTCATTCTGTACATCGGAACTAAAAGTTGGTTCGTCCATAACATAAGACCAGACACACTACATGAAGCTATGTTAAAACATTTCTCACTCCCAGATAGTCCACAAGAAATACCCTGGAATCTATAGGACTGGTGGCTGCGTTTTCTAAATGTGACCCACTAGGAGAAAAGAGATTGTGGGTGCTCGGATACGTCATAAAGATGTTTGACCTCATCCTACTTCAGTGAAGATTGCCATGTGTGATGTCATGTATCTCTGTGATGAGTATCAATTGAAGTTTGTGAATTGTATTTGTGTGTTCCCAAGATGCTGTAGTTTTAAGATATAAAAATTCAAAGTGTGATTTTTCACCAATAAAGTCCCTTATCTCATGGTTGTCCACAAATAGTCGGCCATTACAGCTAACCATGATGTTGGCCTCAGGGGAAAGGGGAAAAGGTCCCTTTTGGTGGACGTAAGAAAGTGCATTCGGTCTAAAATTATATGTCAAAGTCACAGAAAGAAGGGATATCATGATACCTATGGTATCAGAGTTAAAGTCTCTGAATGAATTCTAATTTTCATAAAACAAAGAAGAAACAAGGTGATTTGTTTTGAAAAAACCCTTGATGTACATGGGACAACTTAAACACAGCGTTTGAATAACAGACTCAAATGTTGAATAGTATCAGTTTTCACAACATCTGATGTGCAGATAATTAAAGTGAGTGAGTGAGTGAGTTGGGTTTAACGCCGCTTTTAACAGTATTCAAGTCATATCACGGCGTGTCATCTTAATGTGGGAGGAAAGCCCGAAGGGATGCAGGTCTCGGACGTTTACCACTTTGGTGAAACCCACGAGCACGGGTATGGTGCTGACAAACCTAGAAACATAATCGGGGCGAACCGGGATTCGAACCCACAATCATAGGTTTCTGGCATGCCAAAGGGACGCAACTCTGCACAGCGAATCACGGCGCTTTCGACAACTGGGCCACCCGTGCCCCCCAGATAATTAAAACAATTTGTCGAACAGTAATATTGATACAAAATAAAATACACCACATATTGTGTCATTGAGTAGAATACAGTAGTATAGGTTAAAGGTACTTTCTTGATAGTGCCCTGTGTGCTCATAAGCCATCCACCTGAGCAATCTCATTAAAATCAGATCTAAGTTCTCGCTGCTGCTAAACAAACATCTGAGGACATCCCATTACGGGTCACGTCAGAGTGACCTTTAGTGAACTTTGACTGACCACTGAAATGACCAACAAGAAGTCGACATCAGCCAATTAGAAAGCAGCTTTCTCGAAATTTATGGCACTCGTTTCAACCAGGCGACTTCCATTTCAGACATCGCTTGAAAAATATGTTGACACAGTTCTTGATTAAAATTTTGAAAACTGAACAAACGAACAATCTGGAATGTCTAATTTATGGTTGAGATTGTATACTGTGCAACGCCTCCTTCGTTCAAATGACGGAATCAGTCATACGGGCCGTAACTGTTCGGAATACCCTGTGTTAACGTTTTCGAGGTTGCATGATTTGAAAACACATTCCGACTGTCACTTTCATGATCTGGTAAGCGACGCTTTAATTGGTCGGATAAAAGGTCGTTCTGACATAACCCATAATGGGATGTCCTCAGATCTTTGTTTAGCGATAGCAAGGACTAAGATCTGATTTTAATGAGAATGTCCACCTGAGCAGTTTAAACTCACCACTTCAGTAAAGTGACACCAGGTCCTCGTGGATTATCCCTGACACTAACACCA